CTGTTTCAAGTTAATGACAGCCAGCCACCTTTGTTTTAGTCATTTGTCTTTATGGGTCACATTATTTTGTTGTTATGACTGCTATTCAGAGGTGTAAACATCTCTAATGTTTCTACATGTGCAAAGGTAATGCGGCACTTCCCTGTTCACAGGAAAACAATCCTGTTTGACAGATCAGTTATGGCAAGCTCAGGCCTGCAGCCTGACAATACTTCAGAGTAACTAGAGCACAAAATTAAAACTTCTGAGCAAAAGTATAGGGATAGGCAAAGTAATACAATGTTTAATCGGAAGCAGCCCAATAAGCCTCTCATATGCATGCATTTTAAATGACTTGGTAGGTGTCTTGCAAAATCAAAATAATCTGGTATTTGGGAGAAGATGCAGGTCAAGAATAGGGTTCCAGAGTCACCTACGGATACACAAGAATACAGATCATGGAAGACTATCCTACTTGTCCAATGAGGGATCGCCTAAGTAAGTAACATGCAAGTGGAAGTCAAGAAAGCATAACAACAAGGCAATAGAACAGATATATGGGCAGGTAAGAAAAAAACTTGCCAAGTTAAAAAGAAAACTGTCTTATATCTGCATCTACAATTATCAATGAAGGGATGGATCTAACTTTTGCAAGAGACTTCAATATTATAAAGGAGTGTAGTTGTGGGAGGATTGGGATATGAGATGAGACTTTTCTCAGTTGTAGCATCGTAACAGGGATATCGCTGGGGAAATCAAATTGGGAGAATGGTCCTCAAACATAGAATTCAATCTCTTTGACTGAGTCTATGCACCTGCAATTCAGTCTTGCACTTCTCCTGTCTTCTAATTTAGTAAGCAACGTGCCAGGGAACTGAGGCTGAGGAAGGACATGAACTGTGAATCTAGGTTTCAGTTCTAAACTGGAGTACTAAACTGCAACTCCCAGAAGATACTGGTTAACCAGGATTGATGGGAGTAGCAGTCCCAGAAAGTTTCACTCATCCTTGCTGTACGTCTGAGAGTATGTATGCCTTACTTGGTCTTCAGAAGTTAGAGTGCAACTCCCATTATCTCTCAGCCTTTGAGACGATGACTAGGAGTGCCGGGAGATATGATCCAACAGCATATGAAGAGCTGCATGTTTCTGTTCTTTAGTCTGAGAATAAAGAGGTTGAATATTCCTTAGTCCCTTGCTTTATTGTTTTTATAGGCAGGTAGAAGGAACTGTTGTGCCACTTTGTTCAATCTCAGGATAAGTCTCTGGAGATGGTACAGGGAAGTCTTCTCTACTCAACAGACTAGCAATCCCAGTGGCAGAATAGAATAAAGGATGCTTGTTCCTTATATGTTGCCTCCAGCCATGGTTGACTAAAAATAAAAAAAACTGTCAGAAATATAAGGAACTAAAAACAAAGAGATTTTAAAGAATATGCCGCCTGCCTTCAAAATAGTGAGGATGAGTGACATTGAAGAGTTTGTTCCAGGCTCGAAGAAAACGTTTGTGTACCAGCATGACTGCTTGTCTTGGTTTCTGAAGGCTGTTGGCATGTTTTGATCTGATGTTTTGATCCATTACAAAGACCTTGCAGCAAATTCAGCTTTTCTAAGAACACTGACATATTACTACAGCATGGGCAAATTACTGTACCAGAGATTTGCAAAGCTATTTTGGATGACAACTTCTTCTGATTTCTAACTATGATTGTAAAAGCTGGGCAATGAAGAAAGTAGATAGTAAGATAATTAACACATTTGAAATGCCATGCTGGAGGTGAAATGCCATGGATATCATGGGCCACCAAATGAATGAGTCCTGGAGCAAATTGGGTCTAAACTTTCAGTAGAAATGAAGATGACTAAATGAGGCTATGGTACTTTGGACACATCATGAAACAGTATGGGTCATTGGAAAGATAATAGAAAAAAGGAGAACCATATTGTGGGTGGATTGATTCAATCAATCAGGGAAGCCCTGACTCCAAGCTTGCAAGACCTGAGCAGGCAGTTGATGACTGGGGATCTTGGAGGTCTCTCATTCATAAGGTCACCATTAAGTCAAAGTCAACTTGACAGCTATTAATAGCTCCTCCAACCTCTTTCACCTCCAGTCAAAATAGCCAGTGGCTATTTTTGGATAGGTATATCTAGAACTTGAGGCCTAAAAGCTAGTATTTTCAAGTTCTGCTGCCCATAAACAAACATGCTGTTGGAAGAATCTGGTATTTGAAGCATTTGTTTTGAAGCTGGAAGCCAAGGAAAAAGATTTAAATCAGCCATCTTCAAACTGTGGCCCTTCAGCTGTTTTAGCCTCCAACTCCCAGAATTCTCGGTCACCGAACAAGCTGGCTAATGCTTCCAGAAGTTGGAGGCTCAAACAGCTGGAGGGCTGCATTTTGAAGATGCTTAGATACATGTCTATTCTTTGGAAACCATGTACATTGTTTAATTTATGACATTTTGAAATTTAAAAAAATCAACTGAAACCAGAGTTTTTCTTGCTGGGGATGATGTATGAACAGACTGAGAAATGCAGAAGAATTATTCGATATTTTATAGCTGCCAGACTGTTTTATGTACCAATGTGGAAAAATATAGCCATTCCACTACATGAACACTGGCTGACAAAATTGTATGACCTTACAGAGTCAGATAAATTGATTATTCAAATTAGGGAAAAGTCTTTACATACAGTAAATCCTCTGTATCCATGGATTCAACCATCCATGACTCTCAATTCAAAAAGAAAAGTTTAGTTTTCCCCTTTTATAAAAGGAGCACCAGTGTATATCCACAAATTGGCATCCATAGAGGGGCCTGGTGCAAATCCCAGTGGAAACCAAGGGGCCCCTGTAGTATAAAAAAAAAAGATTGGGAATTAATAATTGTTTATTTGGGGAGGGCAGTTGGGAAATTATCAACATTAGAATTTGAAGAAAAGTAGGTTTAAACAATAGGTAGAAGTACATTTATGTTATACATTTAAAGTGTGTGTGTGTATATATATCTCATATCAACAGCATTGCATAAAATAGTTTAGCTAAAACTGATAAAATAAAGAGATTATAATCTGCTAGATAGTTTTAGACTAAAAACGGGCAACAGAAACTGCATTGTCTGTAGCTTTAAACCATTATTCCTCTGTGCATGAGGCAGGGCATTGTGGGCAAGCATACAGATGCAGGGTTGTTTGTTCTGCTCCACAGTCGCACAAGGTGTGGGATTCTTTTAGGTAGTGCCATTTTGCCAGATTGTCTCTTGATCTGCCAATTCCACTTCTGAGTCTGTTCAGGAACTTCCAAGTTGCCCATTCTTGGTTTGCCCCTGGAGGAAGACCCTCTTGGGGGGTCATCCAGTTGGAATTGTCTGATTTTGATGCCTACAGGGATATTCTTCCTGTTGCTGGGGAAACATTAAGAGGAATGGTGGTTCTCATGAAACATTTCCTTGATTTAAGTCTACTGGGAGGAGGCCAATAGCCATACAGTGGGTTGCCTTCACAGTGTTCAATCTTATTTCTATCACAATTGGAGGCAACTTCCCATTGTACATTGGGGGGGGGGGGGTGCCTGCTAGCTTATAGAGTCTATCAAAAGATGTAGGTTCAAGATATCCTGTGATTATTCTAGGTGTCTCATTTAGTGCTATATTCACTTGCTTTGCATGGACAGATTTATGCCAGACGGTGCAGGCATACTTAGCAGTTGAATAAGACAAGGTCAGGGATGACGTTGGTATTAATTTTGGGTCTGCACCCCCATGCGCTATTGCTTTACAACATTTGAAGGGTAATTATAATGATTAGCTAAGAAGTTGGAAGTTATGTGTTTCCCCCCTTTTTGTTGTTTACATTTATGCATAGCAGTTGGTCGGTATAGTTTTGTAATGTAGTTCTTCCAGCCTGGAAAACAAGTGCACAAGATTCAGTATCCAGAAGAAAAAGACCCTAAGGTTCCACCATTGATTTGTCTACCTGGACTATATGAACACAGAATTCAAACCAAAGAGGTCAATCAGTGGATTTAAAACACTTTTAATACTTGTGGAAGATGCAAATGCAACATTGGTCAAGGATCAGAGACCATCCCGGTAGCGGACTGGTACAGAACCCATATAGAGCACCTCAGACCAATTTCTACAACAGTGATATAGCCCTTTATTTATTTATTTTTCCAATGCTTTTGGTAACAATTCATTCTCGATCTTGGGGGAGGGGGGAAGAGATATTCAGTGTCAAAATGAGGGTTTTCTAATTACATTTTCTCAATAACCTCCAGTGCCACATACCTTAATTATTTCCTCCATAGTTGTGAACAAGTATTGCATTTCCCATGTTTTCACAGAGTTTGTAATATAATCCCAACAACGGGGTTTAACATCATTGGCTTTGTGGAATAGCAAAATTGCTGGAGGCTTTGTGCACTATAATAATTAATTGCCCCTCTCAGAATATCCTGGGACAGTAACTTAAATATACAGTAGTCATATGTGCAATATACAAATTTAAAGCATTACAGTTTATATATATTATATTTATATAATATATTACAAAAGTTACAGTACTTCTCCCCCTGCCAGAATCTTGCATTTTCCATTCTTAAGCATTTTCTACACTGTCAAGTAAACCTGGCTAGAATCCGAAGATGTATTTCAAAACAAATAAACATATACAAAACAAAACCATTTTAATAAAAAGCTGAATACAATTCAAAGGTCTTTAATATAAAAAATGCATGTGCAATTTTGTTTAAAAAAAAGAAAGGTCTGTTTAGCATGACAAGCTATTTCAACAAATTTTTCGCCGTGTCTTTAATTTCAAGTAAGATCCTTTCTGTGCTAAGAATAATTTAACATTTTGAAGATAGGGGAAAAGAAAACCAACAATGTTTGTTCCTTGTGACTTTGGCAAATGTGCTCTCAAGTAGTGAACGTCCCAAAAGATTTAATGATAAGTTTTTATTGTTGGGGGCACCGGGGGGGGGGGGGGGGGGGGGGGGGGGGGGGGGGGGGGAGAGATGGGGCTGTCTCTGTGGTCACTGGTAAAGTGTATGTTAAAAAAATACTAAAGTGTATGTTTAAAAAACCGATACAAAAACATTGGCAGATATCCAAGACAGTGGAAACTTTTCTTGTGCAGGGTTTCAGAGAAATCTCCATTTGGTTGGCAGTTGTGCAGAAAGTTAGGTTGAACCTATTAAGAAATATAGAAAGGAACATTTTTTTTATTCCAACTCCCTCATCACTGGTTATATAAAGTTCAGCAATTCTTACCTAGGATTCCAAAATCCAAAACCTTTATTTTATGCAGAAATAAAAAATAATAGTGTGTATAAGAAATCAAAAAATAATGTGCCCAGTTTAACTATCTGAACATATCTCCCCCTATGAACCATTTTGGAGATTAAGGTCATCCAGAGAGGCCCTCCTCTTGGTCCCACCTCCTTCGTAGGCGTGACTGATGGGAATGAGAGATAGGGCCTTTTCGGTGGTGGCCCCTTGGCTGTGGAACTGTCTCCCTAGCAATATTAGATCAGCCCCTTCCCTCCTGATCTTCAGAAAGAGGGTGAAAACATGGCTTTGGGATCAACCTTTTGGTGAATAATACAGTGCAATAGATGGACTTGGAATTATGTGTAATGATTATTGGAATAGCCTGGACTATGATTGTGGATAACATGGTTTTATAGTAGTAATTGTAATGTTTTATGTGTTTTAATGCTTTCTAATCTCATTTTTAATTTTTTAATTAAAACATTTAATTGTATATTGGATGTATATTGATTTTTAAGGCATGGAATTATTGCCTATGATGCAAGCCGCCTTGAGTCCCCTTTGGGATCAATAAAAGTGGGTTATAAATATAGTAAATAAATAAATAAATATAAAATTACCACTAGGCTATATGTATAAGATGCATATGAAACATCACGGCATTTCAAATTTAGTCTTGGGTCCCTTCACCAAAGTAACTAATCTGTAAGTACAGATATTATTCCCTTCTCAATATGATTTCATATATTTGGTTTGGTCCATAGTTTTCACTGATGACTCCTGTTTTGTATTTCCAGGACTGATAATCAAGCTGGAATATTTTCCTGAATATGGTGGAAGGGTTTTTACAAATGTATGTACAAAATATGGTCATATCCAGTTGCCATGTCTAGTTTTATCTACCACAGGCATGGGCAAACCTTGGCCCTCCAGGTGTTTTGGACTTCAACTCCCACAATTCCTGGCCTCAGGCCTCTTTCCTTTTTCTCCTCAGCCACTTAAGCAGCTGCTAAAAACCTGTCCAATAGGGTGGTTTCTTTTGGCCATTATTAAAAGCCTGCTGGAACAGTCAGGTTTTCAACTCCTTCCTAAATGTTGTAAGGGTAGGTGCTTATCTAATTTCCCTGGGAAGGGCATTCCAGAGTTGGGGGGCCACTACCAAGAAAGCCCTCTCCCTCGTCTCCATCAACCTCACTTGTCAGGGAGGTGGGACCAAGAGGAAGGCTACCCCGGCTGATCTTAAAGCCCGAACAGGTTCATAAGGAGAGAGGAAGTCACATAAACATTCCAGAATCCCCAGTTACCCTTTTCATTGCACCATCTTCCCCAAAAGACTGAATTGTTTCTTATGGCAGTCTCCAAGGAGTGGCAATTCATCTTTTCAAATGCCTTGCAAGGCCATCTACTTTCTACAACATAAAAAATAAATATAATTCAAAACCAGAACCAGACTTCCAGCCACTTTGGGTTTTGTTATTGTCATTCTGGCACTTTTTTGGCAGTATATACTGCTCTGAGGGCAGCAAACTAACCCCTGGATTTGCTGCAGTTGCTTTGAAAGCCATTGGTCATTACTCTAAGAAAGGAAAACACCTTGGAGAAAGGTAAGCATCCATTCAGAAAACAGCCACATTCAAAGTGAGCATACCTCACACATTTTGCACAAGACACTGTTGGTTCTTACCTTTATTATTGAGAATATCTAACTGCTTGGACCTTTAAAGATAAATCCATTCTTTGGGCACTGACCTGGTCGACTCATCTGTGAGTATAGATCCATTCTCTGCTGCATACTGGAAAATTACAATGAAAGCCACAATTACATAGGGAACATTTGTGGACCCATCCCAGTTGCAGCATCATCTATCCAAGTCTGTTCTAAAAGGTTGGGAAAGTTTCTAAAATGTGCCTGTCACATAAACAATGTTAGCAGACAAATCAACACTGAAGGTGGGGCACCTGCATTATAAGTAAATATTCCAATGAACCTTTACAATGAATAAAAACCAGATTTTAAAGAAGTGTTGTATCAGTCACAGCATAGAAGAGATTGTCCAAGTTACTCTTCAGATTAAGACTTCCAGAAATCCCCAGCTAGAATGGCCTCCAGGTGCTGTAATCCTTACAAAAGAAACTGTGTTGCTCTTTCCTGGAGTCTTAGCCTCTATTTCCTGCAAGTCCTGCCAGGCTTCTGAAAAACAGTCATATCCACTTGCCATCTATTGTCAAGTGGACAAGCTGGAGGAATGCTCTAGCATAACCCATGCTAGACCTCAACTGAAAGGAAGTTGCCTATGTCCACTATTCCTGCTACAAAGCATCCAAACTCAATTGACTTAATATAGGGACTCATAGCACACAGAACCAACACTAACATTAGGGAAAGAGAGGCAGAGTTTGTATTCCTTCTGCCCACCCTAAGGCTGCTTTATGAAGCAAGGGATTTAGTTGTGATTTTCAGTTAGAAGGGGGGGGGGGGAAGCCTAAATAGCCCAAAGGCACCAGATCCTACCTAATCTTGGAAACGAAGTATGGTCATCTTGGGGTGGTTCTACACAGACATTGAATCCAAGTTAGAAAGTGGATTTAAAGGAACTGGTTCTGCTGTGGAGAGCCTAGACAATTGCTGCAGGAACCAGTTAGAGTCTGGGATGGTGGCCACAATATTCACTGATTGCAGATTGGAACCAAACAGCCCATTTTTTCCACTTATTCTGCTGGGATGAACTGATGTGAAATCACTATGTCTGTTTGGGATCAGCACTGGACTATGGAAGGGCACAGGAAATGAGGACAAAGGAGCATAAAGTGAGAGTCGCAACAGGAATTATGTGGTTTCCCTTCCTGTTGAGTAATTATTTACCTTCTGACAGCTTTGTTTCGGCACTTCTCAGCCCTACATGGTAGATACTCTGATTGGTTGCAGCATGGTTTTTGGTTTATTCCGGACTTTTTGGTGAGTTTTTTAAATGCACTGTTTCAGGCTTAATGCATCCTGCAGCATGCATTGGGGATGTACATTTTGTGGACAATCCACCCTCTAGCCAGCTTCAAGCTGCAATATACGGCCTATATTGAACCACCCTTGGTGAGGATTTACATGGGAGACATTGATTAACAGGTGTTAAGCTATATTTAAGATGAACAAATTGGCAAAACCACCTGTGAGAATTCCGTACCTGAGAAAACCCTGTGAAATTCATGGGATCACCATAACTCAACAGATAACTTGAAGACACACACACACACACACACACACACAGGGCCCTTCCACGCAGCCCTATATCCCAGAATATCAAGGCAGAAAACCCCACAATATCTGCTTTGAACTGGGTTATCTGAGTCCACACTGCCATATATTCCAGTTCAAAGCAGATAATGTGGGATTTTCTGTTTTGATATTCTGGGATGTAGGGCTGTGTGTAAGAGTCCACACACACATTATAAAAATGCTATCAGTTTTGGAAAGTTTGCAAAGCAATCTAAATCTTGTAATTAAGGATGCTTTGTGTCCTTCTTAGGAAAAAGGCATCCAGGAATTACAATGATAAATTCTATACTGATAGCAATAAACTTATTATTATGTAAGCAGAAATTCACATTAGTTTCCTCCAAGAGGCGTTCTGTGCTTTCTCTTTTGTTTGTTTATACCTAGGATAATATGCGGTGTAGTTCATGAAGAGCTGGGTGCCAGCTGGGTAGTATGCGGTGGAAGGCTGTAGTGTCCGTGGATTAAGGAGCACAGAAGGCTGGTAGAGCGCGGCTTCGGTTGGGATGACTGCTGTGGGAGCGGGAATGGAGTATGAAGGTGGAGAAATGCCTAAGGTGAGAAAACACAAAAAGACAGCACAGATAAAGTCTTTCAACAATTCCACACAAAGTTGTCAATGCATAAAATATGGTCAAGAGACACCATTGCTCCAAAAACACACAGCTAATTTGAAAGATCCATCTGCACCTCCCATTCCCAATCATGATAGATTCATGTAGGAGTTATGTCCCCTCCCTCATATTTTTACAGACTTTGTTCCAGAACTCCCTTTTTTTCAAATGCACACACAGTGCCTTTAATCACCTGCTTCTCTTAAGTCATAGTTGTTGAAATCATAGCTTTGAAAAGTTAATTTTGGATCACATGGATATGGGATTCTGAACACTGCAGTCAAATAACTTTCCCCAAAATCTGGGTAAATTACATTGGGCCCTTTTTTGGGTAGGAGGTAAAAGTGTTTCAGATTAAACCGTAACACATTGTATTTATATTTTACTCTCAATCTTCACATAGCACATGTTTTTGGAGGCTTCTGCTCTCTCACAGATCCACTTTTATTAAGGGATCAGATTCTCCCCCTTTGTTAGTCTTCTTATAGCAGCCAATCATAAACTTCTTCTGGGCGTCTGTAGAGTTTACAGTCATAAGCACAAAACCTAAATGCTTTTAACTACAATTTTTGTAATTCTAGACTACGAGCTCAGTCAAGAATGATACAGGGTTCCCCACTATATAACTGTTATTGGAGATATTCAGGCTATGAGAATGTGACCTAAGGTCACCCAGTGGGTTTTCTGAGTTCATTGGTGACTTCAGCACAAATATCCCAAGATCGAGTCCACAACTGGCTAAATGTGGTCCATCCCTTTTCCCAAGTATAATATGATGTATCATGGAGGAGAGACATCTACAGTTCCACTAAGCAAACTTAAATGCTATTTGTTGGAATTTCTCTGACTATGCAATTAGAGATATTCTGATACTCTTGGATACTTTTTTATGGCAACGTTAGTTTCAAGCCTTATCTGTATTTCTTCTCTACTTCACACTTTGCAAATCTTTTATTCCAGGGTTTTACTTAATATTTTTAATGTTTTTCTCAACCCTCAGTACCTTGTAATGGAGATGTCTAACAATAATCTTTCATCCTATGTATTTCTTTAAAAAGTAATTCAGTGAACGCAAGACCTTCTCAACAATGCTCTGTTATTTTGAGAAGCTGTATTTACTGGCATGAAGTCAAAACAGTTCTAGTTTGTTGTTTTAAACAAGCAGCTAAGATCCAAAGATCTATTATTTATTTATTTATTTATTTATAGTATTTATATTATGTTGATATTGAACTATTACTGAGCAAAGAGTATGGTACAGAGGTTAAAATAAGGTTCAGGCACTCAGTACATTACATAGAGGCATATTATAATTGCTTCACTGAGTTTACACTCAACCAAGAGATGTCATGTGTCAGAAGTAACTTGAGAAACTGCAAGTAGCTTCTGGTGTGAGAGAACTGGCCATCTGCAAAGACTTTGCCCAGGGGATGCCCGGATGTGTTACCATCTTGTGGGAGGCTTCTCTCATGTTCCCGCATGAGAAGCTAGAGCTGACAGATGGGAGCTCACCCCTTCTCGTGGATTTGAACAGCTGACCTTCAGGTCAGCAGTTCAGCCAGCACAAGGGTTTAACCCATTGTGCCACCACAGCACCAAGAGATGAAACCAATACTGTTCTCTGGTGTAGATGCCTTCATGATGCATATACTCATACCCTACAAGTTTAGGATCTGATTTCATAAAATCTGACCTTGTTGGAGTTCTATTTTGGGTTTTCTTGACTGTCCTTTGGCAGGCAAACAAAGAGTCTGATTTTTTAAAATTGTGGTACTAACAATATAAATATACATACCACAAAGGAAGTCCATCAGTTATAGTGTTGGTGGTAGTAGTGGTGGTGTGTGTGTGCCTTTGCCTATCTATCTCTTTCTCAGTCTTCCTCAATTTACTTTGACCTTGTCAACTATTTTTGTTTCAGTAAGTTTTTAGTTTTGTGTATTGTTGCTTTAGATTTTGTCCTTACAGTTGGCCCTCCAAATTCATGGGTTTGATTAAAATGTTCTGTGCAGAAATCTCTAGGTAAGAAGTTGACCACAACATGATGAACAACAAAGCTATTCCTAAAGAGAACACTTCTCTAGGAATCTCTAGGTCTTCCAGTGAAATTCTATCATCTACTTTTGGTGACAGTGTCTATATATCTGACTGTCCAGAAGGGGCCACATATTTATGTCCACTGGCTATAAATGTTTCTTGCTTTCCTGGAAACTGGTAGTGGACCATCAGTCCATGACTTGCACACTGACATACCTTGAATAGCACTCACATACCTTGAATAGCACTACTCAATTGTCTATAGTAAAAAGATGTAGTTATTCCCCAATGACTACCAATGGAATTTGTGGATCAGCTTGTCAGAACACTTATAATTGTTCCTCAGATTAGCTAGGCATCCATACTTGATCTTTGCTACCAATCATTTAACAATCAAATCATAATGTGACTGAGAGCTGACTGCAGTGCTCTTAAAGAGCCAGGCTGCCAATTCATCAGCATTGGCCCAGTGCAAGTTAAGCTCCCAGGAGGAGAAAAAAAAGTGTGTGCCAGCAGAAAAGCAAGCATAAAGGCAGTTCCTCTTCAAATCAAAGGCGTCCCAGCCATTAGGAGAACAAATCAAAGTCTGAGACTGATTTCAAGTGGAAAGGTTTTGCATTTCAGACCCCATGCCCTGAACCTTTTCAAGAGAGGAACACAAGAGTGAAGAAAAGAAGCTCCAGCTCCTACCCGCAAACAGCACAGAATAGCGCCAAGACCCAAGCAAAACTTACATGGTAACTTACATGGTGGTGGGGACAAGCCATTTCGATTTAAAGTGCCCCCCATTAATACAAAGTTCATCTCCTCAGCAGAACACTGAAAGACTTCAACATATCTGTCCTTCATGGTTTTCTTATGGCACTTCTGAGCAGCCATAAAGGCTCGTTCGGAAGATTTCATTTGGATAAAAGCATCTCCAGAGGGTCGACCCTAAAAACAAGAAAAGGGTGAAGCACTGTAGCATCAAAATATAAATGTCTGTCCAAACTTTTCAAAAGTAAATATCTGCAGTAACAACAGCAAATTCGAGGCTAAATATGAAATGAAACTACTCATTCTGGTTTAAGCAACCACAACACGAATTCTACTAAAAAGCTTGAAAATTAGCATCACAGAACTGGATGAGACCAGAAGGTCATTCAGTCCAACCCCCTGCCATACAGTAACACACAACTGAAGCACTCTTGCTAGATCTAGCCTTTGTTTTAAAACCTCTGGAGAACTCCACCACCTATATTCCACTGTTGAGTAGCTTTTACTATTAGGATGTTTTTTTGTAATGTTTAAATGAAATATCTTTTCTTGCTATTTGGATCTTTGAAAAATCCAGAACAAGTATCATCCGTACAATAACTGTATTATTAAAGGTAAAAGTTTCCCCTGACATTAAGTCTCACCGTGACCAACTCTTGGGGGGAGGGGTGCTCATCTCCATTTCTAAGCCAAAGAGTCGGCATTGTCTGTAGATGCCTCCAAGGTCATGTGGCCGGCATGACTGCATGGAATGCAGTTACCTTCCCGCCAAGGCAGTACTTATTGATCTACTCACATTTGCATGTTTCAAAGTGTTAGGTTGGCAGAAGCTGGGGCTAACAGTGTGAGCACACCCTGGTCCCCACATTCGAACCACCCACCTTTAAGTCAGCAAGTTCAGCAGCTCAGCAGTTTAACCCACTTTGCCATAACTGTATTATTACTGTGGCTATTATGTTGGCAAATATTATGATGGAATTGTTAAACTGTCAAGAACATTACATACAATTTAAACTATACCACTAGAGGTTGTTGTAGGTTTTTCCAGAGGTCATTACCTCTGAGGATGCTTGCCATAGATGCAAGCGAAACATCAGGAGAAAATGCCTCTAGAACATGGCCATATAGCCCGGAAAAACCTACAACAACCCCAGTGATTCTGGCCATGAAAGCCTTCAACAATATATATACCACTAGAGATACTAAAACAGATTTTTAAAACCATTACATTGAAATACAGTGCTAAAATTATTACAAGCCCTCTTTTTTTCAATATTGCCATACACAAGATTGATCAGGAGCAAATAAATATTTCAGAGGACAAATGTGATCTACCTGAATGGACCAAGTTTATTTTCCTTCATCACCATGCCAATTTTCAGTAAGGAGACAAAGCATGCATTTACACCAATGTTTCTCAAACTGTGCTCCTCCAGATATTTTGGACTTCAGCACCCATGAAATCTCAGCCAGCTTACCAGCTATTTAAGAATTGTGAGAGCTGAAGTCCAAAACACCTGGAGGAGCACAGTTTGAGAAACACTGGTTTACACTGTAGAATTAAAGCAGCTTGGCACCACTTTAACTGGCAACGCTCAATGCTATGGAACCATAAAAGTTGCAGGTTCACAAGCTCTTTATTTTTCTCTGTCAAAGGGTGCTGATTCCTCAACTACAATGCCCAACAATTCCACAGCATTGAGCCATGGCAGTTAAAATGGAGCCAAACTACATTAATTCTACAGTATAGGTGCGCCCAAAATGTTTGCTGCCTAACACAACACAGGGTATATTATGTAGAAAAGGAATCTGAACTGGCCATATAGTATTAATGGCAATGGGACAGTGTTCCAAACACACCGAATCAGCTGGCCTTAGGTGACCAGTGCTTACAGCACGGCAAGCCACGTCCAGATGTTTTCCAGGGCCTTAGCATCTGCTGCCCAAAGCCACTTGCCTCATTCTGCCAAAATATGAGGCTGGCCCTTTATTTCAGTGCACTTTTAGAAACCCTGAATTCACAGGCATTAGATCTGATGGACTGTGGCTCTTCTTAACCGCAGTGAATTTGAAATAGTAACAGACAGCCATCCCAACCAGAGGCCTCTAACAAGTGTGGATGATTGGAGTCCTTTGACAGTTACAAATGCCTGCTTATGGTGATGACATTTAACATTCATTTGTAATTGATAATGGGATCAAATAATATACAAATCAAGATGAAGAATCACATCTATCAAAAACTGTTCAAGTTCCCTTGTGTGGCTTTACTCTGGAAATTAGTTGCAGCAAAAATTATAACCCTGGACAGGCCCGTAGCCAGGATTTCGTTTCGGGGGGGGGGGGCTGAATTTTTTTCTGGGGGGTGTGGGGGCTGAGTTTCGGGGGGGGGGCTGAGTCTGAGTGAAAGAGGGTCTACCTAGCAAACCTTTTGTATCATTACCCCAATACCCCCATGCATATGGGATATATTGAGTATGGTGATCAGATCATGATATGAATAAACATAACAGTTTAAATAATGAACCAGTAAGGCCTTTTCGCAAACCACCATGAGAATTTCGGGGGGGGGCTGAAGCCCCCCCCCCCCCCCCGGCTACATGCCTGACCCTGGAAACTAGCCTAGGAAGGCCTTTTAAAAAGATGCAAGTTTTTTGTGTCAGCAGTGACTTGAAAAACTGCAAGTCATTTCTGGTGTGTGAGAATTGGCCATCTGCAAGGATGTTGCCCAGGGGATGCCTGGATGTTTGATGTTTTATGATCCTGCAGTAGGCTTTTCTCATGCACAAGGAGCTGGAGTTGACAGAGGGAGCTCACCCACTCCCCCTGGATTCAAACTGCTGACTTGTTGGTCATCAGTCCTGCTGGCACAAGGGTTTAACTCATTGCACCACCTGCTGACATATAGCATCAATGCAAATATTCATTACTATTTTCAACCATTCTCACACTGCTCGTAAATGTGCACCCAAACCAACAACCTTGCTGTACGTTTTGAGATCTTCATTCTAGTTCTCAGTCATATTTAATCTTGCTGATATCTGGACAATAAGGATACCTATAAAGGGACTTCAAAGATTCCTACTAAGCTCTCCAGTTTTACTGAAAAATTGCTATAGTCAGGAGGTGGGAACAAGTAACTTGTTAATATTGAGCAAACAATTTGGCAGAATTCTGAAACTGTCCATAATTTAAAAGAGCAAAACCTAAAACAGGTCCCCAGGCACTAAAAGGGACCCCCAGACTGGTTGCAATTGACAATATCTGTTTTATTCATTGAAATGTCAATTACATTTTTAATGAGTTACCAATTCTTCTTACTTTAATTTTATACCATTTGAGATGTTTCAGTAGTCTGGGCGATTTCTAATTGTTTCTCAGAATTCACAATGGTTCATAAATGAATGAATGAATTTACTAATTGATATTATAAATTTTGCTTTCACATTATAATTTTATTGAATGACTTTTATTTAAAGATTTAATGTTAGTGCAAATTAATAATGTTTCCATAGTTGTTATAAAATTAAAACCTTACAGGATTTTTCAAGAGCTAGGGTGTTGTAGTGGTTTGAGTACTGAACTAAGCATCCAGGAGAGCAGAGTTTAAATGATAATTCAATCATGGAAACCAATGGAGTGCCTTTGGGCAAGTCTCAAAGGCAAAACTCCTTTGATTAAATCTAAGGAAACACTAGCATAAGTTTGTCATAAGTTAAAGTTGATCTGAAGGCACATTTCACCACAACAAACGGAGCCCCCAGTGGCGCAGTGGGTTAAACCTCTGTGCTGGCAGGACTGAAGACCGACAGGTCACAGGTTCGAATCCGGGGAGAGGCGGATGAGCTCCCTCTATCAGCTCCAGCTCCTCATGTGGGGACATGAGAGAAGCCTCCCACAAGGATGATAAAAACATCAAATCATCCGGGCGTCCCCTTCCAGGCGGCCAATTCTCTCACAACAGGAGCGACTTGCAGTTTCTCAGGTCGCTCCTGACACGACAAAAAAAAAACAACAACACCACAACAAACAGGATTCTTCCAAATCAGGCTTATATTTAGGATGATACTCAAACCATATTTACACTGTCAGGAAGAGATAGGAAAGTATCCATGAGAGTTGCTATATAGTTGCTAACCAGCAGCCACCAGTAGCACAAATCAGTGTTATACATTCTCCAGTGTGATGCCCTAGGTATGCTGGACTACAGCTTATACTGCCAATGGCAAACTTGGCTGAAGATGGCAGGACTATAGTAAAGCACATTTGGAGAGGATGGCCATACCCATGGCTGGTCAGCATTTAGGTAATAAACACTATATTACAACTATGGGTTATTAAGTGTCCAGCTTAATGCTGTGACAATTTGGAACAGTGGTTTGCACCCTGTGGGTCTCCAGGTGTTTTTACCTACAACTCCCAGAAATCCCAGCCAGTTTACCAGCTGTTAGGATTTCTGGGAGTTGAAGGCACAAACATCTGGGGACCCACAGGTTGAGAACCACTGATTTGGAAGCACAGATCTAGATAGAGGACCCAGACAAAAGACCTAGGCCCATTTCTCCATTTGTGACTACTAATAACAAAACACTGTAGCCTTACGAATAGAAAATGCAAGACAAATGGTAACTATGTCTCATTGCAAGTGATAGTGTCTCAGACTCTGAGAGATACAAGGTTCAGACTCTAAGAGGGATACAAGATTACTATACATTTTAAGCTAAAGTAGATGTTGGGCAATGAGTATTCTCTTTACTTAAGGCACAAGTCTCAGTAGATGCCCAATTGTGCCAGCCTTAATGTGAACTGCCTGAATAGCATTTTACTCAGAACCTTCAATCAAAAGTTTCAGTGTTCCAAGATCTATATTCTCTTTTCTTTGCTTACCTGGTGATTTAACACCATGTGAACCCCATGAGTTCTGATATCACCAGAAAACTCCCCCAGGAATCCCAAAATGTCCTCTATAGTGGCAGCATAAGGAAGACCACGCAGTCGTATGCAGTCCCTGACGTTGGTCGGAGGTACAAACTGCTGAGGTAGTACAGGAAGGATAGGTGGAGTTGGAAGAGGAATGAGAGGAGTAGAGGAGTATCTGTTTAGTACCTGCGAAAACAACAACAGTAGAGTGGATTACATAAATGTTGAAGTATACTTCAACTTTCACAATCATTCCATGTTGGCCTAAGTCTAATTGTTAGGTACAATTAGAGCACACCCACTAAATTAAAGGAACATAAGGGTTGGTTGTCTAAACTAGCATTCATTCAATCAAATGTCTTATTGCAGTTGGGACTAACAATTGTATTGTGATGGCTCTGCCTGGACTAACAGCTGCTGCCAGGCAAATCAATTAAGCTAGAATGGTTCCCATTTACTACTGGAACTGAAACCAACCAAGTCGTCCAAATGAATAGTTCAAGAAAGTAAAAGATTGGGGACAATGATGTTGCTAGGGTTACTGTCACTTAGGGCAGGGGAGGAAGGCAAGTGGGCAGCTAGTGCTGAGCACAGATATGAAGGGGTCTTATTTGCTCTGCTTGCAGAAAGAATTTGAAAAATACAGAATGGGGAACATGTGGCTTGACAGCAGTATGTGTGAAAAAAGATCTTGGAGTCCTTGTGGACAACAAGTTAAACATGAGCCAACAATGTGATGCAGCAGCTTAAAAAGCCAATGGGATTTTGGCCTGAATATATAGGAGTATAGTGTCTAGATCCAGGGAAGTCATGCTATCCCTCTATTCTTCCTTGGTTAGACCACATCTGGAATACTGTGTCCAATTCTGGGCACCGCAATTGAAGGGAGATGTTGACAAGCTGGAATGTGTCCATAGGAGGTTGACTAGAATGATCAAGGATCTGGAGAACCAGCCCTATGAGGAGTGGCTTAAAGAGTTGGGCATGTTTAGCCTTCAGAAGAGAAGGCTGAGAGGTGTTATGATAGGGAGGAGGGAGCAAGTTTGTTTTCTGCCACTCTGGAGACTAGGAAGTGGAACAATGGCTTCAAACTACAGGAAAGGAGATTCCATCTGAACACGAGGAAGAACTTCCTGACTGTGAGAGATGTTCAGCAGTGGAACTCTTTTCCCCAGAGTGTGGTAGAGGCTCCTTCTTTGGAGGCTTTTAAATAGAGCCTGGATGGCCATCTGTCGGGGTGCTTTGAATGTGATTTGCCTGCTTCTTTGCAGGGGGTTGGACTGGAAGGCCGATGACGTCTCTTCCAATCCTATAATTCTATGAAAGTTTGAAGGAAAGGACTTCATTCTGAAAGTACCTTCTCACATCCAAATTAATTTCTTAATAACTGATATTTCAACATGTTGCTACATGCTTTCCACCAGCAAATGCTGGGAATTAGATCTACCATTTATTCTTGTCAAACTAGAGAATGGCCTGGGTGGGGGGAAAAACTTATGATACACCTTCAAAAAGTTACTTTGTTATTATATAGCTCTCAGATATGTGAGTCAGGATTGTTGACACTGAAGTTCGGAGAGGGTAACATTTCTGATATCTGGTTTAGAGAACACATCTTTAGGCACACAGATAGATAGATAAATTAGTTTTTTAAAAGATTATGAGAATCCTCCAGCCAATATGGCTGCTGCCTATCATGGCTGAAGAATCTGGAAATGTAGTTCAACATTTAAATAGTAACTTTTTCTGACTTTTGGCTTAGAGAACTGATCCCTTTAGGCACAGAGTGGGTAAATTTACTTTATTAGCCTACCAGAATTTGAAAACCAGTATGGAATAATCTATCGCAAAAGATTGTGGAAGATAATTAAAATAGAGACAGGGGTATTAGCATTTGAAGAATCCAGTTCATATCCTGGATGGAAGGCAGGGGGAAACAATCCCTGTATCAAACAAAACAAACACTTCCTTGAGATATTCTGATTAGAAACTGGATTTAGAAAGAATAGCTACTTCTAATTCTTTCAATTTGTATACATAGCTAACAAATAATGCACTTTGACAGCATAATTTAGAGATAATTTCACATAATGAAATGGTTATGTACCTTAAACAGATTTTGAAAGATTTTTCTTACTAAGGACCAGTATTCAATTTTCCCCTCCCACACTCCCCAAAAAACTAGAGTCTAAAAGTTTGCTTTCTTGAAGACAAGTAGAAAGTGGGTGAAACGAATAGGAATGGGAAATAATACATTAATATATATGTGTTCAAAGAAATCAGGGCAGCATATAGCCACAAATCAATGTAAAAGCAAATACCAGGCAATGTATAACAATAAAAGAAATTATATGGGTGAGCATCTGTCTCCCTACCGTACCATCAAGATGGTGAAACTGAGACACCTGAAACATGGTATGCATATTAAGAGCCCCCTGGGGATGTGTATCACAGGGTTATTTTGATTTTATAATGGATTATTTCTGTTAATTAAAGTCTGTTTGGAGCATGCAGTGCCATTCTTAATCACTAAGCAGCAGACATCGCTAAATGTTTCTGACCATCAGAGGTGAAGCCAGAGGCAGACCTAAAATATTCAATTTTCCATGCAGCCTGTAGGAGCTGCTATAATGGCATCCTTGTCAGATGACCCATGCAGCCTCTAGTTAAATACCTCAAGAAAGGGACAGCCTGGCATCTTTCAGTGGTGGTTGTTCTACCCCCAAACAGCTCTTCTTGGTACTATGTTCCTTCTAGTGTTCAACCTAAAGGTACTACCATAAGCAATTTTCACCCATTAGTAGCTTAGTGCTATTCTGCTGAGAGGGAAAAGCACTAGCACTGCCTCAGAGGGCCAGCTACCCCTGGCCACTGCTGCTACATTGTATTGTGGAAGACTTTCATGGCTGAAATCATTGGGTTGCTGTGGCTTTTCTGGCCTGTATAGCCATGTTCCAGAAGCATTCTCTCCTGACATTTTGCCTGCATTTATGACAGGAATCCCCGGAGGTTGTGAGGTCTGTAGGCAAGTGGGGTTTATATATCTGTGGAAGGTCCAGGGTGGGAAAAAGAACACTTGTCTGTTTGAGGGAGGTGTGATTGTTGCAATTGTCCACCTTGATTAGCATTCAATGGCCTTGCAGCTTTTAAAAGCTTTTTAAAATTATTAAATACTGGTAGTCAGATTTTTTTTTCATTTACATTTGGGTTTTTTTTCTGTTGAAATTGTCCACATGCTTGTGAATTTCAATGGCCTCTCTTAAAAAATCTAAAATCAAAATAAATAAATAAAGTACAACACTCAAAATCAGGGGAATTCCAGACAAGAAACCACCAGAGCCAGCTAATCACCTCCCAAGTAAGGATTCCCCCAGGCAGTTAGCAGCCAGACCTTGAAGATGCAAGGACATTAAATAAGAATCAAGGTGGTCAATTGCAACATTCACACTTGCCTCAGACAATAAGAGTTTTTTCTCCCACCCTGGACATTCCATAGATATATAAAGCCCACTTGCCTTGTTTCCAACAGACCTTATAACCTCTGTGGATGCCTGCCATAGATGCAGGTGAAATGTCAAGAGAGAATGCTTCTGGAACATGGTCATACAGCCTGGAAAACTCACAGCAACCCACTGTCACCATTTCTCTTCCAAGGCATTAAAAAAGACCACAAATGGCACCGTGGCAATGAAAACACAGTGGGTCGGTGCTTCCTTTTGGTTCTCCCAGGATGAACTGCACTCTTGTCTTTTACCACTGTATTCAGATACTGGGATGGTTCCCTTTTGGATAAATATTGAGATACAGTATTCACATTCACTTGTGGGTAAGTCGACCCAGATTTTTTATCCATCCTGATAAAAAATCACTTATCACAACATTAGTAAGTAAGGGCACTCACCTGCTGAACCTCAGCTGCTGTACTCCTGAAGAGCTCTATGTACCTTTTGCCCAACAAGTCTTTGTGTTTCTTTAATGCATTCTGCGCATATTCCTCACACGCAAACAGCACAAATGCATCTCCAGTTGGCCTATTGTCAGGATAGGTCACAAAAAGGATTCCTTCTTTTCCACCTGTCACTGGACAGTGTTGACCAAAGAAGGTTAACACTTCCTCCGTTGTTACGTTGAATGGCAGACCCCGCATGCGAACAATCACTTGGTTCTCTTTAGACAAGAACTGAGCAACTTCATTGGATGTCCCTTTTGAAGAGAAACCGGGAAATAAAATAGAAGTTAAGGTATGCTGTTCAGCTCATAGGGTTATGAAGGGGAAATTGTTTTTCTAAAGGAAGAAATATCATTCTAGATCAGGCATGGGCAAATCTTGGCCCTCCAGGTGTTTGGACTTCCAACTTCCACAATTCCTAACAGCTGGCAAGCTGGCTAGGATTTCTGGGAGTTAGTCCAAAACACCTGGAGGGCCAAAGTTTGCCCATGGCTGTTCTAGATGGATGGTACCTAGATCTACCAATAAACTCCTCATGTATTTTTTCCTTAAAAGATACATGAGGAATTTATTAGAAAAATACATGAGGCTTACGAACAGAATTAAATACTGTACATCTAATTGCATATTTCATTTACTGAAATATTTTTTATAACTTCCAAAACCAACAAGGCTTTCAAGGCAATAAACTATAGATAAAAACATTATTTTTCCCAAATTCTAACAAAATGTGTTATCGAAGGCTTTCATAGCTGGAATCAGGGTTGCTGTGAGTTTTCTGGGCTGTATGGCCATGTTCCAGAAGCATTATCTCCTGACATTTCACTCACATCTATGGCAGGCATCCTCAGAGGTTATGAAGTCTATTGGGAAGAAGGCAAGTGAGGTTTATATATCTGTGGAATGTCCAGGTTGGGAGAAAGAACTCTTGTCTGCTCGAGGCAAGTGTGAATGTTGTAATTGGCCGCCTTGATTTGTATTTAATAGCCTTGTAGCTTCAAAGCCAGGCTGGTTGTTTCCTGGGGGAATCCTTTGTTGGGAAGTATTAGCTAGTCCGGATTGATTTTTGTCTGGAAATTCCCCCTTTTATAGTATTGTTCAAAATCCTCTCACGTCTGGAGGAGTTTACCGTATACCATGCAGCTGTGGACAAGTCTACACAAGGACCACCAAATGCAGCAATGCCCAAACACGAATCAAGGAACACGAAAGGCACTGCAGACTAATGCAACCTGAGAAGTCAGTCAGGAACCTATCTGGACACAGCATATTATTTGCGAACACAGAAATTCTGGACCACCCTAACAACTACCATGTCAAACTATACATAGAAGCCACTGAAATCCACAAGCATGTGGACAATTTCAACAGAAACCATGAAAATGAACAAAACCTGGTTACCAGTGTTTTAAAACTCTAAAATCAGGGCAGTAAATAAAGAGCAATATTCAAAAACCAGGGGAATTCCTGAAGAATCAAACAGGGTCAACTAACACCTCCCAACAAAGGATCCCTCCTGGCAGCAACCAGACAGACTTTGTAGCTAAAAGGCCGTTAAATACTAATCAAGGTGGCCAATTGTAGCATTCACACTTGTCTCAAGCAGACAAGAGTCCTTTTTTCCACCCCGGACAATCCACAGATATATAAACCCCACTTGCCCCGTTTCCAACAGACCTCACAACCTCTGAGGATGACTGCAATAGATGTGGGTGAAACGTCAGAAGAGAATGCTTCTGGAACATGGCCACACAGCCCGGAAAATCCATAGCAACTCAAAATGTCAAAAACTAGTTTTAAAATAACACACAAACCAGAACAAAGCTAGAACTGATTTTAGGGATCCAAGGTCATGCCAAACAGTGTAGTCTTGGCTTCCAGGCCAGAAGTTCAAAAGGGCAATGATGCCAGATTTATCCTTGGAAGGAAGGAGCTGTTATTGAAAAAAACCTTGTCTTCACCTCTCCAATTTGACCTCTTAGGGTGATGGGGCACAAGACAGAATCTCAGATTCTAGGCTGGTTTATATTGGAGCAAAGAGTCCTTCAAATATTGTGGACTGAGCAATTGAGGGTTTTTTTTCTGGGGATACAGAGAGGAAACGAAGTCTTTCAACATATTGAGACTATTTCTGATAACCTCTCTATTCGGTATTGCTATTCTTTGTTACTTTTTTGCTTTGCAAGCCAAAACCAGCATGCTGAGTTAAGCTTCCAAAGAAATCAGAAGCCAGCTGAATTGAAAGAAGATCAATGAGATGTGGGTTCACACCATACAGTAATTGAACACTGCATTTCACATCTCTCTGTAGCTTCTGAACACATTTAAAGGAAAACTCCCTATAGAGAACTGTTCCTTAAGCTGTCAGTCCTGGCCCCAAATGTTAGGTCCTGAAAAATGTGATCACAGTAAAAGTTTTCTAAATATCACTGAGTGGCTGTTTTAGATATTTACACGCATCTGCTGTGAAGTTTTTACAGTGGACTCTGCAGAAGATACTTCAGCTATGCTCCACAAAAAGGAAATTTAGCCTGCATAGCAAGCCTTGCAAATGGTGATGTGTTATCAGTAAATGTGTGACTTTTATACCTATGCACCCAGGGTCACACATAAATTTATCAAAAGGGGTAGTGATTGAAAAGTTTAAGAATCTCTGCTATTGAATACATTACAGCAATCTAATTAGGAGGCAATAAAGCCATGAACCACTGTGCCAAAATGAGCCTTTGTTAAGAAGGGGCACTGTTAACAATTCAGTGAAAGCTGGACCGAGGAATTGCCTAACACTCCAACTTCTATAAACAAGGTATCTGAAAAATGGGGGAAAGTGATAATTTAATTTCATTTTTATAAGAATTTACTGAAATTGGCTTATTTCTTCATGTTTAGCAAAGAAATAAGATTTTTTTAAAAACTGGCCATAGGAGGGACAGAAACTTGTTTAATTTGTATTTTTTGTTGTTATGTGTACTGACTTGTTGTAAACTTCCTTGAGTCACCGATAAGCCTGAGAAAGGCGGTAATCAAGTATAGTAAATAAATAACTAAATAAACTGACAATTTTGTCCATCCAGTTCTTGAGATTTGGGTATCCAAGAGACTGGGTTTCAATGCCTGCAGGAAAGCACCACCCTTGAACTAACCTGGACACAGCATTTTATTTGAGAACACAGAAATGCTGGACCACTCTCACAACCACCATGTCAGACTACATAGAGAAGCCATTGAAATACACAAGCGTGTGGACAATTTCAACAGAAAGGAGGAAACCATGAAAATGAACAAAATCTGACTACCAGTATTAAAAAACTCTAAAATTGCAACAGGACAACAACAGAGAGGAAGCAGACAGGGACATCTAATTACCTCTCAACAAAAGTTTGCTCCAGGCACAATCAGCCCATTGTATGCTAATCAAGGTGGTCAGTTGAAACATTCACACCTAGCTCCAGCAGACAAAAGTCCTTTGTCTCACCCTGGTCATTCCACAGGTATATAAACCCTTTTCCCTAGTTCCAACAGACCTCACTACCTCTGAGGATGCTTGCCATAGATGCAGGCGAAACGTCAGGAGAGAATGCCTCTAGACCATGGCCATACAGCCCGAAAAAACCTACAACAACCCAGTGATTCCGGCCAGGAAAGCCTTCGACAATACACCACCCTTTTATTCCGATCTTTAGCGAACAGCTGTTACTCACTGAATTTGGATTTAAGTTTTAGATAGTTTTTGGAGGTTTTTTTTTTAAATCATACTTATCTAATCCTTGGATAAAGACCTGGAGATTTAAAAAACCTGAAGAAAGAGAAACTGACAGATTTCCCCACCCTGATGACAACTATCTCGATAACCACTCTCAAGATACCAACCTCCTCTCTTTGTGTGGCCCTTTTATACATTTCCAACCAACAGAGATCTGGAGCTTCTTCACTTCTGTGGAAGAGCCAGAAATAATACCACAAGGGACACACCCCAACAAGTCTGGCAATGCAATTCCTTCAGTTGCATTTGAGGTCCGCCTTCACCCCAGGCGAATGCGTAGGTTTGATGTACTGTTCAGAGCCTATCCGCAGTGAGGACCTCAAGATGCCGGGTTCTCAAATCAAAAATGTAGTTATATAGTCCCATCAGCACCAAAGTTACATTCCAGAGCTTCCAGCCCCATTTTGTAATGTATCTTTAATTACCGTCCTCCCTAGGTAAGCAGATTTTTAAAAAGATCCAATGTTCAGAGAGGATTTTGTGGAAAAGAAATCTCAACCATGTGTGTATGAAGAGGGACAAAATCTAATTTCTTTTCAGAATTCTGAGAGTATAGATAGATGAGAGTTTTATTTTAATTAACTTTTATTGGAATTTTCAACAAGCCACCAATTCTTTCATCTATCTATAGACATTTTTTGTGTGTCAGGAACGACTTGAGAAACTGCAAGTTGCTTCTGGTGTGAGAGAATTGGCTGTCTGCAAGGACGTTGCCCAGGGGATGCCTGGCTGTTTTGATGTTTTACCATCCTTTTGGGAGGCTTGTCTCATGTCCCCGCAATGGGGAGCTGGAGCTGACAGAAGGAGCTCATCTGCACTCTCCCTGGATTCAGATCAGCAACCCAACCTTCAGGTCAGCAGTCCTGACAGAACAAGGGTTTAACCCATTGCGTCACCGGGGGCTACATATACATTATGTCCCTATGTTTGTTGGTCTGTTTGTACCTCAAAGGCTGCTGCTAGGTTAAGTGGCCCTCCGTGATGTCACTTGGTTGGCTGTTTAGGTGAAGTGATCCTTTGTGATGCCACTGGGAAGGTGTATGAGGGAATGCAAATGAAGAATAAAAGAAAGAGAGAAAGAAAGCAGGAAGAATAAGGGAGGAAGTGTATGAGAGAAATGGAGGAAGGAAAGTGCACGCCACAAAGAGCACTTTCACACTATTGCCATCGTGTTGCCATGAGGAGGCCACTTCACCTAGCAACAGCGAATCCAGTGACATCACGTACAACCACTTCTCTTAGCAACAGATTTTGTGGTACAAACATACAAGCAAGCATATATGGATTACCATTTGTGACCTCTTTTTCTCAGAGGAGCCTTATTTTATGATTTTTCACTTTGTTGTTTTGCACTGTTTTATTTTACTTGTATGTTTTACTTATTTTATTGTGATGTTATTTTTTGCCGTTCTGTATTTATTTTGCTATAATGTATTACCACGCCTCATGTAAGCCGCTCTGAGTCCTCTCTGGGGAGATGGTGGCGGGGTATAAATAAAGATGATGATGATGATTATTGTTATTATTATGACAGAAAAAAAGCATACAGGTACAACTTGGACCTCTACATGCTGAAAAATAGCCTGTAGCTTAATGTGGCCACTATACATGGGTGAACATTTTGTTTTTCTTTTGGGACCAAAACTAGTGAGTCATGTATTTGTAATGAATGTGAGTGAAAGCTAAACTGATGTGTCTTCCTACCTCTAGGCTATGGTGCATTCTCAAAGTCTCTCAGCCCAACTATGAGAATGGCCCTAAAGGGAGATGGCCACCTCAGACAGAAAAACTGGTATGTCATTAAAAGACAGCAACAACATTGTTTTAGTATTAGGACTACCACAACCCCAAGGCCAAAACTGACCCAAAAACTTAGGGCACCACTCTGAGTCCAAAGCTTGTCAAAACCAAGCAATTTCTCTAGTTTTGTGGGGTCAATTTTGGGTAAGAGAGAAGGCTACCTGCTAACTCCCAGTCAGATGGAGACTTTTCCAGCTGGCTATATAGTTTGCTGCATTTTGTTGTTGCTGTATGCCTTCAAGTAATTCCTGACTAATGACAACCCTAAGATGAACCTATCATGAGGTTTTCTTGGCAGAATATGTTCGGAATCTGCCTTCTTCTGAGGCTGAGTGTAATTTGCCCAGGGTCACGCAGTGAGTTTCCATGCTGAGCAGGGATTCAAACACTGATCTCCAAAGTCTTACTGCAATGCTCAAGACATTGCACCACACTAGCTTTTGGTTGAAATAAAGCATAGCAATTGGCAACTGCCTCTATTTCTAATCAGGAAACTATCTATTTGCATATGTGTTTCTATGACAAGATGGGAGCAAATATGATGACTCCATAGTCCATAATGTTTGTTGGCATCATCCCCAGTTGTTATGTTCTGACCTTGAAGTATTAGAGTCTGGAACATTGAACCCTAGAATGCATCTATATTGTAGAATTAGCACAGTCTGTCATCACTTTAACTACCATGGCTCAATGCTATGGAATTCTGGGAGTTGCAGTTTGCTGAAGCACCAGCACTCTTTGGCAGAGATGGGTAAAAACCTTGTAAAACTACAGTTCCTAGGATTCCATATAATTCCTAGGATTCCATATGGAGCCATGGTAGTTAAAGTGGTCTCAAGCTGCATTGATTCTACAGTGTAGATGTACTCCTAGCCAGGGGTGCAATTTGAAGTGCAGTGGGTTAAACCACTGAGCTCCTGAACTTGCTGACTGAAAGGTCAGCGGTTCGAATCTGGGGAGCATAGTGAGCTCCCGCTGTTAGCCCCAACTTCTGCTAACCTAGCAGTTCAAAAACATGCAAATGTGAGTAGATCAATAAGTACCGCTTATGTGGGAAGGTAACGGCACTCCATGCAGTCACGCTGGCCACATTACTTTGGAGATGTCTATGGACAATGCTGGCTCTTCGGCTTAGAAATAGAGATGAGCACCACCCACCAGAGTTGGACACAACTAGACTGAAGGGAAACCTTTACCTTTCAACCCTCATACACATTATTTTGCATAATTGGATATGGGCTTGAATAGGAGTGGGCAGCTGCCAGGCTTGGGATTGTTTCCTATCAGTAAATGGAATTCTCCTAATAAAGATTACTTTAAACTTTAACTACTAAAGCCCTTGAAGGCTATCTCATGCTCTTTTGAATTGTAAGTTTAATCTGCTAATAATGTGAAACTTTTGCAAGATGTCAGAAGAACTCCAAAACCACACACATGCTCACCTTTTTGTTGCACTCCACCCACCCTTGGAAGTTTTAAGACTTTAAAAAAATGCAACAATATCATAAAAGCTAAACATGTCTGTGTGTGTGGGGGGGGGAGGGGGGTGTTGTTGTGCCATTAAATGTTAACCATGTATATCTCTCAGTGGAAGAAAGATTACCTCCAGCAATTTTCAAGAAGTCTTCTCCTGTTGCTTTGTACACCTGAAACAGAAGAGGGCAGGAGCTATTAATCTCAGACAAAACTTTCCATCCAAACACAAATGTGGGAGCTTGAGCAACCTACCTCAATGTACCGGTTCCCCATATGATGCTTGTGTCTCTGCAAAGCTAGGTCCCGGTGCTCTTCGCTTACGAACCTGACGAGCGCCTCTCCATTCCTCCTGCCTTGGGCATTGAGACAAAGTGCAGCCCCTCCCCTAAAACAAGCAGAAGTAGAGGTAAGTTACAAAAGCACACCTACTTTCCCACAAAATCTGTGCTTAAATGAATCTCCCTTTAAATGCATAAAAGGAAACACCCTTGGCTGCCGCTCAATGCATTCACACCCTCCTTTTAGAAACAGGACTAGCTGATTCTCTCATGAGAACTTCAACAGCAAAGCATTTTACTTCTGTTCACACTGATTCGATTAAATCCACTGAAGCAATGTAATTTATGTAAACTGAATAACAGACACACAAAATTAGGAGGCAGAGAAACAGATTCCACCTATCGACATTTTCCAATTAAGAAGATGGAAGTTATTTATTCCGGAGCCATCTACATTGCCTCTTTAGATTTGTTTCTACTAAAAGACAGGGATGAAAATATTTGAAAATATTCAAAAAAATGTGAAAAAATAGATTTTCAAATGTGTTCAAAAACCTAGATTAAGAAAGTCCTAGCTTAGTGAAAATATGAGCCATTTCGGACACAAAAACGTTCATTTTTGCATAGAAAATGCCTTTTTTCTGCTGCTGATATTTCCCCTAAGGAACTGTCATCTTAAAATGAACTATTTCTGAGTAGAAAGTAGCTTATTTGTAGAAAACAGAAACTGAAAACAGCTTTCTTGTAGAAAACAGATTTTCCCTCATCCTGGTTTTGTTTACAAACAGTTCACAAATAAATGAATGGAGTGCACATTTTATTGCAGAATATTAATTGTGAGTAGCCTTTGAAAACTGCACTTTTTATTTACTATATTTTATATTCTGCCTTTCTCAACCTGGAGGGACGCAAGGTGGCCTTACAATTTGATGCCAAATATACATGTATCGATACACAATTACAATTAAAACCAAGCAATCAAAACATAACTTATTAAAACATCAATTAAAATTGCATCATCCAAAATGTAATCCAGGGTTGCTCCATTGATAACACATTAATTCGTAGTCACTTAATTGCATTGCTCCATTTATTTGTCAAAAACTTGGTCCCAAAGCTACAACTTAAGTTTTTTCCTGAAGGAGAGAAGGGATTTAATTTCGCTGAGGAGGAAGTTCCACAGATGAGGGGACACCACTGAGAAGGCCCTGTCTCTCGCCCCCACCAGTCATGCCTGCAAAGGAGGCGGGACCAAGAGAAGGGCCTCCCAGGACAATCTTAACCTTCGAGATGGTTCATAGGAGGAGATATGTTCGGATATGTAAGCTGGGCCAGAACTGTTTAGGGCTTTTTCACAGCACGGAGAAATACTTCTTGTCTGAGTTTGCACAGATTTACAGGGCTACTGGAATATCTGAAATAGCTAATGGTTCTTTTCAATCCAGTAACTCACTTAGAAATAAGTCAATAAAAGATGTGCAACTTTGGAGAGTAGAAGAATGTAGATTACTTCTGTCCTTTCACATACTTCTTCTGCAAAGTTTACTGTCTTTCACGTATGTTTTCTGTCTTTCACAAAGGAAGAGTCTATTCTTTATTCTTATTTTCCCAGTTCTCATTAGAGGAGGAAATCCTCAATGGAATTTTGTGCTACTGTTTTTATTGTTGTTTTCCTTTCAGTCTTGGTAAGAAGACAGTCTCAGTTATTGGTATGCCACAGAGTTACTTCCTGGAAATATTATGGATTTGTCCTTCAATAAAACGTATCAGCTTCACCTCTATTGACCTAAATCTCAACATTTCTGACTCAAATGATTTGTCTCATTGTAGAATTAATGCAGTTCGACACCACTTAACTGTCCTGGCTCAATGCTATGGAATCCTGGGAGTTTTGCATGGACATTAGCCAAAGTGCCTCACTAAACAACCCTTCTGAAGGTTTGGAGACAACACACCTTCGGCTAGAAACCAAGGGCTGTCAGTTGAGAACATGGGTGAAGGTTAAAAAACATGTCCAATAGACAAAACTAACTTGGCAATATTCAGTCCTTTGAAGAACCTTGCAACGTCTTGGTCTGATGACTGCCATGGCAAGCCTCTTGCCCGGATTATGGTGTTATCATCTATGAGTTCCATCTTGCTGCTGCAAGCAAAGGGAGATTAATATTTTTTTTAAAAAAAACCCTTTAATTCTTAACCCTAAGTAGAACAAATATGATTTTCCAACTAACTCATATAGACAGTATTCTTTTAAGTACTTTGCAAACAATGAAAGAGGAGGGTTTGAAGTATTTCAAATACCAGTGGAAAAATAAAGGAAGTCAAAAACAAGCAACTGATAGTGAGCTTTACTGGGTCGTTGAGGACTATGTAAGCACACTTTGGGGATGGCAAAGGGGTAAGAGAGGTAACCAATGGCCAAGTGATACAAGATAACATGCCTGTTAACTTCTTTTTAAAAGAGATGATGATGTCTAACATTGTTCCTTATGAATAAAAAAAAGGTAAGGTAAAGGTTTCCCCTTGACATTAAGTCTAGTTAAGTCTGACTCTGGGGAGTGGTGCTCATTAATGCAGTTAATGCAGCTCATTAACTGAAGCTCATTAACGCAGTTCTAAGTCAAAGAACTGGCATTGTCCGTAGACGCCTCCAAGGTCATGTGGCTGGCATGACTGCATGGAGTGCCGTTAACTTCCCACCAAAGCAGTACTTATTTGTCTACTCCAGTGGTTCTCAGCCTTCAACTCCTAGAAATCATCACAGCTGGTAAACTGGTTGATATTTTTGGGAGTTGTAGGCCAAAACACCTGGAGACCCACAGGTTGAGAACCACTTGTCTACTCACATTTGCATGTATTCAACTGCTAGGTTGGAAGAAGCTGGGGCTAACAGCAGGAGTTCCTTATAAATATTTCAGTGAAATTACTTGAGATGGGACTTGCCCTTTTTTATCATAGAATCATAGAGTTGGAAGAGACCTCATGGGCCATCTAGTCCAACCCCCTGCCAAGAAGCAGGAAAATTGAATTCAAAGCACCCCTGACAGATGGCCATTCAGTTGTTGCTTAAAGGTCTCCAAAGAATGCCACATTCTTGTGTTTGATCATTCTTTATTTTTTAAAATAATTGATATGAGTGCATACTAAGGGTTTTTAGAACATGATGGGGAAAGTGGCCCTTGGGGCCAAGTGCAGCCACTCAGGTTGTGTTTGTCATCTTCAGCCTCCTTTGAGACTATTTAGCTATAAAAGGTGACTTATCTCTTTGGAAATCTGCATGAGCAGCAATTTGCCTCCTCAGCAATGTATGACATTTAAAACAATTCTTTTCAAAACTGCAAATGGACTTCTGGGTCCCCTTCTACACTGCCATATAATCCAGATTAACAACACAGATAATCCACATTATCTGATTTGAACTGGATGATATGAGTCTACACTGCCATATAATCCAGTTCAAAGCAGATAATCTGTATTTTATATGATAGTGTAGAGTGGGCCTGGCTTCTCCATATTTGTCTGTTTGGTCCCTAGGCAGAAAAGTGGCTCCCGGCTCTGCTAAAGTTCCTGACCCCATTTTCAAATAATGTTTTCAAGCTCTGAGGTATAATCAAATTGTGTGCCAACAGCCCCAAGACATTGTAACTCATTTTAATTGTTGAGTAGTTCTGTCCCTTTAATTGACACTTATCACTTATACCTTGTAACTAGATTTCTCTGAGGCTCCGGCAACATCAGTTCAATAGGACACAGTGCATGGGCTATAATATCCTAGGGCCCTTCCACACAGCCATATAACCCAGAAAGCAGAAAATCCCACAATATTTGCTTTGAACTGGGCTAGCTGAGTTCACACTACCATATATTCCAGTTCATAGCAGATAATGTGGGATTTTATTCAGCTGTGTGGAAGGGACCTCAGACTACTACAAAGATGTGGGAGTCCTTGTCCCTACATCTGTATTCATATTCAAATCCTATCTGCTGCCGGAAACAGTAAGGTGCTATTATGAGAATTGTAATTCAAAACTTCTGGAAGGTGAAAGGTAACTTTAATCCTAAAGAAATTTAGGATTTCCTTAGGATTAAAGTTACCTTGACCGTCCTTTATATAAAATGCAAACCAAGCCTCCGGTGGCACAACGGGTTAAACCACTGAGCTGAATTTGTTGACTGAAAGGTTAGCAGTTCGAATCAGGGGAGCGGGGTGAGCTTCCGCTGTTAGCCCCAACTTCTGCCAACCTAGCAGTTCAAAAACATGCAAATGTGAGTAGACCAATAGGTACTGCTCCAGTGGTAAGGTAACAGCACCCCATGCAGTTATGCTGGCCACATGACCTTGGAGGCGCCTATAGAAATGGAAGTGAGCACCATCCCCCAGAGTCGGACATGACTAGATCTAATGGCAAGGGAAAACCTTTACCTTTTATACAAAATGCTTGGGACCAGAAGTTGAATCAATTTCTTTGGATTTTAGAATATGGGTATTTGTATGCATATAGAACACACACACATATACAAGATCTCTTGGAGATAGAACCCAAATCTAAACACAAATTTATGTTTCATACACACTTTGTATATACAGCCTGAAGGTAATTTCATACGTAGTATTTTTAATAACTTTATGCATTAAAAGAAGTGTGTGTACACTGAAACATTCGAATGCAAAACTTTTACTGTCTTCATCATCCATGTGGACAATTTTGGTATGTGTTGGATTTCATAATTCCTGATAAGAGATGCTCAACCTGTCTGAACAAGTCCCAATGTGGGTCTCCAGAAAGTAGGATACAGTGTTAAAATAAACTATTGGTTTATTATAAAATATTTTAATGCAACTTACCAGGTTCCACTTTCAAATTTGTAGTTCACCCTTTCTGGATCTGAAAACCTGTGATCTACAAAACACAGCATCTGATTAGTTCCACTTTTAGCATCATGCCTTGAGAAGAAGCTAAAATGTGTGTCACAGTGTGACCTATCAGAAAGGGAAAACAGCTCCCGAATTCAAGAACAGGTAAAAATGACACAGGTGTTGCTTGGATCAAGTGAAAAGATTTATTTAGGCCTAGAGAAAAGCATCAAAAGGAAAAGAAAACAGCACATGCAGACGGGTCTCAACCTCTCGTGTAGGTAAAGACAATAGCTGACACTAGGACAATGGTTTTATATTCACCTTATCGCTATCAGTCAGCCTCATCACATGACCTTTTCTGGTCAATGAGGGGAGGGGATATGGCTTTGCTTGGTTTCCACACTTCCTGTTTTTGAACTATGAGCATTACCTAATAACAAAAGCATGCATGCTAGGGATAACTATAGAGTTGTCTCCAGACAACCCATCCTTTTTGTGTATGTGGATCTATCAGACTTCATTTTAGATCTTTGTTCTCAACAGAGAAAATGTTGTCAAAAGACAACAATGTTTCAAGACACAGTGATGTGATGGGAACCCTATTCTTCCCTACTAACACATTAAAGAGAGTTTTTCAGTGTCAGAATTATTTATGTGCTATACATTTGCTCTATAATAGCAGGCTGTATGTCTGCTTTTGAAGCAAATGGATATTTAGCAAAACAAAGTCTTAGCTATCAACATTAGAGTACATGTGTGGCATGTTGTTGGTGTTTTTAAAGTCCCAGATTCAGGTTTTGCCTTTGAAAAGGCACTGTCACTCTGCAAAACTTAAGTGCGAGAGCTGCTGGATCTATACAGTGCAAATAACATTCAGCTAGCTCAGACATAGGCAAACTTTGGTCCTCCGGGTGTTTTGGACTAACTCCAACAATTCCTAACAGCCAATAAGCTATTAGGAATTGTGGGAGTTGAAGTCCAAAACTCCTGGAGGGCCAAAGTTTGCCCATGTCTGAGCTAGATGGACCAAAGATCTGACAAGCAAGTGTCCTATGCACTAGCACAGTTTTGGGCCAGTCCTAACATCAGGGAACATGAGGCAACTACTACAGGCAGCAAATGCTGAATATGAGCAGTTGTAGATGGCTGATCACTCTCCTAATCCTCCTTTAGATTCTCTTCTGTTGAAAAGACTCTAGAAACAGGCATGTGGCTTGTTTGGCACTCCTTAAACCAGCCTGCTGCACTCAGGCGTGGTTCTGTTCATACATGTTCAAATATAAATCACCTGTACATAGAGTCTGAGCAGACAATCTTGGCTTTTGCTTCAAGTAGCAAATACAAGGGGTATTTTTTAAGTAAGGTCCGTTTTGTTGTAGACACTAGTAGTTCGTGTGCATACTGCAACGAGTACGTGCATCGTATACCGGCATGCTTCGGGAACAACTGTTCTCAGTTTCCGCTCTGTAGCTAACCTGTACGGTTCTGTTCTGTGCTTTATAAATGTTTAAGACTGTCATCTCACCCTCTGCATGTGAGGTTCGCTCAGTGATACGGTTTTTGTCAGCAAGGAACCTGCCTGCTGCAGAAATTCATCGACAGATTTGTGAAGTGTACGGTGATACTGTTATGAGTGAAAGCAAAGTGCGTAAGTGGGTACGACAATTCAAAGATGGCCGTGACAATGTCCATGATGAGGACTGCTCCGGTTGCCCTTCTTTGATTACACTGAACTCTTGGTTAACGGGGCAGGCGGCAAGTTTTTATGAAGAGGGTATTTTATAATTGGTTCAGAGGTATGATAAGTGTTTGAACAAACTTGGCAACTATGTCAAAAAATAGAGTGAAGTATGTACTTTCTGAAAATAAATTTACTTTTTTGAAATAAACTTTTGTTGTGTACTTATGTTCAAACGGACCTTACTTTAAAAATACCCCTCGTATTAGTTAATTAAAGTATGTATATCCTATTCTTTTTTAAAGGCATCAATGATTTTTAAATGATTTTAAAATTATTAAACATTTTAACAAGAAAAATGAAGGGAATAATGAAATATGTTAAAGTATCAGTAGTTTGCAATTATTTAAAACCAAGGACATGTGAAGATTTGTGTAAAACTAATTAGGTCCTCAAATTGGTAGCTGGCTTCTAATGGGAAGGTGCTCCATAACGGGCCTGCCATAGCAAATCTTGGGCTGGGCCCATCACTGTATTCTTTTATCCAGGTTAGTTCTTTTATCCAAGCTAAACTTTGGGAAGAATATTTAAAGATATAGGGGTGAAAAGTTTTAAAAGTTTGTATCTTTAATTGAGGGAATTCTGTTGAAGAGAATCCTGGACCGGTGATAATTTTTGCCGTTCAAAATTTTATGCAAGAAGTGTGTATTTTATGATTATGGACAGCATGATTTTAGTATTGAATGAAATATTTTAAATGTTTAATATGTATTTATTTTATTTTATTTTATTCTCAATGTTATTGGAATTGTATGTGTTTTAAGGCATTGAGTAATTACCTATATGTAAGCCGTCTTGAGTCCCCTTTGGGGTAGAGAAAAGTGGGGTATAAATAGGGTAAATAAATAATAAATTCTTAATTGTGTACCACACTTTCAAGTTAAAACTGTTACTGCCTTGACAGACTGTGAGGAGAGAGAAAACTTACAGCACACATGTACATACAAAAAAGAAAAGAGTCCAAGAAAGTCACCCCAAGAGTCAGAACAAGGGCAAAGACTTAGCAAGAGCAGGCTTCTGAAAATACAAAACACCGGCTTACTGTATGGTTCTGAAATTAATGTTAAAATGATGTTTCCCATATCTTCTACTTGAGATACTCCATGACGCTGCACTGAATTGTTCTTCTCAAGATTCAGATCTGAGCATTGGTGTTAAGTCAAAAGAAGCTTAAAGCCACACTTCAAACATGTTTCAGGAATGGCAACATGTAATTCAGTCTGTCTGCACCTACAGGCCCATCCCTGATTTCCAAGTCACCATCAGATGCCTCCTGCACCTTCACAATTGAGAGAAAAGTCCGAAACAGGCTTAGATCCCAACAGCAATGTTGGGGAATCTATGCCTTTCCAAATGTTTCCAAACAACTAACCACTGGCCAAACTGGCTCACACTGATGACCAAGGAGTCTGTAAAAAGTGTAGTGTGCCACATATTCCCCATTCCTGCTGTCAAGGCTATTGGAAGAGTGCCTTTGTTTATAAACTGAGCCATGATGCAGTGAAGGATTGGAACAAAGGGATAAATTCTGCTGATTCTGCCTCTTTCAACAACCCTGAAATCTAGGGAATGCATTGAGAGATGTGGAGAAAAAGACCCTTCGGAAGAATGGGTCGAAGACAACACCTGCTAGTAAGATCATCCGAAAATAAAAAAAAGCTCAAAGGATGTTCCAATCAATTGAGCTAATTTAAAGCTTCATAAAAAGCATGAAAATATTAGCTATATTTTGTCGAAGGCTTACATGGTTGGAGTCACTGGGTTCCTGTGAGTTTTCCAGGCTGTATGGCCATACTCCAGAAGCATTCTCTTCTGATGTTTCGCCCACATCTATGACAGGCAACCTCAGCGATTGTGAGGTTTGTTGTGAGGTTGTGGGCTGTATGACCATGTTCCAGAAGCATTCTCTTCTGATGTTTCGCCCACGTCTATGGCAAGCATCCTCAGAGGTTGTGAGGTTTGTTGTGAGGTTGTTGGAACAACAAACCTCACAACCTCTGAGGATGCTTGCCATAGACGTGGGCGAAACATCAGAAGAGAATGCTTCTGGAACATGGTCATACAGCCCGGAAAACTCACAGCAACCCATTAGCTATATTAATAATGTCTCCCTCTGCCTGTCCCTTACACATCATCATTTCTGGTTACTCCTCTTTTCTATAGATAGTGCACAGGAAGAAAATTTAATGCACCAACTTATGCTTACATATTAAAATAAAATAAATCTACCACGGTTGTTCATGCAGTGACATTTTAAATTAAACATTAACGAGTGCAAAACAAGCTTGTAAAGTTTACTCTATATAGGTGATGGATACATCTGGATACATCAGGCAAGGGAATTGTGGGTGTTGAAGTCCAAAAAACCTGGAGGGTTGAAGTTTGCCCATACATGGGATACATGCATATTGATACATTTTTTTCTATATATTTTGTATCAGTGACTGACAATAGTATCTTGTCATTGTCACTAGTATAATGAATATTGGTTACTGTCTGCATACAACATTCTGTTCCTTCCTATTTACAATTCCCAAACAGGCTAATGATTAAGTATTACTCTTTAAAACAACGGCATGACCACCACTGGCTAAGCAGTAATGTTTGTAGGAGGTGATGTAAGAGTCATAACAGATCAAGTAAATATGAGTCAGCAATATGATGCTATGGCCAATATCATCTTACATTTAAACATGAAAGCTGGAATGGGAAAAGAGGACACAGAATTCTACCTAAGACTAGGTTGGGGAGATGAGTCCCTAAGAAGATCTGGCAAAATTGGAACACTAAAATGTCTATTGTAGCTAAGCTTCCTAAGAAGATGTCAGAGATCCACTACATCATCAAGCAAAACAAAATATTAAGGCAGTGATTGTTATTATGGTCTTCAATGAATAATAAAAGCGACCTGCAATTTATTCCATTCATATTTACTTGTGAGTAACCTCCAATGCATATATGAATGGCAATACACATTTTACTTGAAAGAATGTTTGTATTTAAAGATGTTTCAATGGCAATGGATGGGGGAAGTAAGTTTCCTCATCCATTATTATACACAAAATTACCTGCACAGAAATGCTGGACCACTCTAATAATCAACATGTCAGACTACACAGAAAAGCCATTGAAATCCACAAGCATGTGGACAATTTCAACAGAAAGGAGGAAACCATGAAAATGAACGAAATCTGGCTGCCAGTATTTTAAAAACTCTAAAATCAGGACAGTAAGTGCAGAACAAAACTGGAAAAAAAACCCCAGGGGAATTCCAGACAAGAAATAATCAGGGCCAGCTAATCACATCCCAACAAAGGATTCCCTCAGGCAGGAAGCAGCCAAACTTTGAAGCTGCAGTGCTATTCAATGCTAATCAAGGTGGCCAATTGCAATATTCACATTTGCCTCATACAGACAAGAGTTCTTTCTCCACCCTGGACCTTCCACAGATATGTAAACTCCACTTGCCTTGTTTCCAACAAACCTCACAACCTCTGAGGATGCCTGTCATATATGTGGGTGAAACGTCAGAAGAGAATGCTTCTGGAACATGACCATACAGCCCAGAAAACTCACAACAACCTATTACCTGCACTGTAAGCCCCCCCCCCCCATCTTAAAAACAGGTCCTGTTAAAAAGGGAGGTTTTATTTAACTTCACTATTGGTTAATGTGAATATCATGACATGCCTGATGCAGATTTGTCTCATGATACATAAATGCTAGATCATCCCCAGATTTTCTGTAGCTACTTTTGGGAGGGAGGGGATTACTTGCATAATTTTACAGCATTACTAAATATGTAAGAAGCTAACTTCCTTGCCCTGCATCCCAATTTACCCAAAGCCACCACGGATTTCTGCTAAATGTTGAGTCTCAAATACTATTTTCCAAAAAGACAAAGATCAACATACTAAGTCAACTGACTCACACAGTGTTCTTGCTCCAAATATGTTTGCTATTGGCTATTAAATGGTTTCTACATGCCTCATTGGCAGAGGACGGGAGACTATATCTTTTGAAGGTACATGATTTATGGATAGCCATGCAAGTTTCATTCGCTCCACCTTTGAGACATTTACTACCATGAACTGGCTGAGCAAGCTTTGCAAGTACAGAACAGCAATGAAATAAAGCTAGGAGGTAAAGTAGAAAGATCCTAAAAATGACATATATTTACAGGTTAATTGAAACACATCGGTATGCAATCCACACAAATCCCCAGTCCATTTGTTGGCAAATACCCACAAATCCTAGTTTATTTGTTGCAATGAGCTCACAAACCATTTATAATTATGCAATACACCGCAAAGGATAGCATGATAGATAACTGGCTAAGCAGTAATGTTTGTAGGAGTGATGCAAGAGTTATAACAGATCAAGTAAATATGAGTCAGAAATATGATGCTATGGCCAATATCATCTTACCTTTAAATAGAAACAAATATACCAAGACTTCAAAAGAAGTAGCACATCACCATTCAACATGAGTAAAATCTATTTTGCCATTCTAGATTCAAGTCTATGCATTAGAGCTGGACAGAAATGAAAAGATTACGTAAGTGTCAGATAATATAGATGAGGCTTCAGAAACAACAGAATGTTATTTTCAGTACACTATCCTAAATAACGTGCAATACCTTGACCTCGTTGTGAAGTCCCTGTTGGTGCAATGGGTTAAACCTTTGTAACTGCAGGACTGCTGACTAAAAGGTCGGCAGTTCGAATCTGAGGAGCGGGGTGAGCTCCCGACTGTGAGCTCCAGCTTCCCATTCAGGGACATGAAAGAAGCCTCCCTTGGGCAATGTCCTTGCAGATGGCCATGTTAAAGTGCAACAAGTTATACACTGAAATATGACACTGAAATGACACTGAGAACTGGGAAGCCCTGGCCCTTGAGCGCTCCAGCTGGAGGTCAGCTGTGACAAGCAATGCTGTAGAATTTGAAGAGGCATGAATGGAGGGCAAGGAGAGAAATGTGCCAAGAAGAAGACGCATCAAGCCTACCTCGACCAAGACCGCCTTCCACCTGGAAACCAATGCCCTCACTGCGGGAGAAGATGCAGATCAAGAATAGGGTTCCACAGTCACCTACGGATCCACTGCCAGTACACTGATCTTGGAAGACTATCCTACTCAGACAATGAGGGATCGCCTAAGTAAGTACGCCGAAATCTGACTGATGTGAAATTATAGCAACCGCCTAAAAATAAGGCATAGTCTATGTTTTGCTCAAAATAATGGCACAAGGGCTACCTTATGAATAGCAGTCAGCAAACCATGTTACATTGGAGAGGGCCATATTTCCAATGGTACATGTAGGTATTTGTCTTCCTCCTTTTGTTTCCAATGGAAAACAGCCCTAAGGCCAACACTCAACACTGGGGGAACAGCAAGGAAAGAAACTACTTAACCTTTGGGTTGTTGTAGGTTTTTTTGGGCTATATGGCCATGTTCTAGAGGCGTTCTCTCCTGACGTTTCGCCTGCATCTATGGCAAGCATCCTCAGAGGTAGTGAGGTCGTGAGGATGCTTGCCATAGGTGCAGGAGAAATGTCAGGAGAGAATGCCTCTAAAACATAGCCATATAGCCCGAAAAAACCTAAAACAACCCAGTGATTCCGGCCATGAAAGCCTTTGGCAATACTTAACCTTTTCTCCTCTCAAACTGTTTCCCTAATATGATCAAAATACAGCAAAGAGATTGAGTATAGATATGGAAGTTCCCAACATTCAGAGCACTGATAGCTAAAGATACATTTTTCTAAGGAAGCTATGATGTAATCCCATCACAGCTAGCACAGCAGTATTTCCATCACAAGAAATTAATTGAAAGATGCCGAGTTTGAGATATTTTGGCATAATGATGCCTACACACAAACTGGCTGGATTGAATTCAAAACTGGCAGCAATAGAGTCCTTTGATGTATCAACTGACTTAGTTTAGTTGGGCTAAAACAATTTGCATGGCAAAAAGAAATAACTGGTTGGCTGACACATATATCTGCAACATATATCTGCAACCTCAGGTACTACACTTGCCTTACTTTCTCCAATAGCAGGACCAGCACTGCTGTACTTCGCACATCTGAAGCCCCCATCTGAAGGAAACTATTCAATTCTGCAACTAGTCATGATATGCCAATAGAAAGGCTGCATAAAAACAGGCACAGCATTTAAAATTTTACTTTACAAATAAAAATTATTTTGAGATTTGAAAGGCACCTGCATTAGATTAACAAATGTACCCTTCATTCTCTTAAAAGGGAAACATGACAGATCATTTTTATGCTTTCTGTGTGAAAAACAATAGAAACGTAGAAGGATTTCTGAGTTCTCAGCTAACATATTATAAATGACACAATAAGCCATGCATTCTCTCCTATTTGATTTACCACACATGCCAGAAATCTAGGAACTGTCACCTGACATCTTGTTAGTAGATTGTACATATACTGCTATTTTATGGACCCGGCTGCTATGAACTGTGCAGTAAATTATAGTTCTCAACTATTTATGAACATCATCATAGTATGCATGTTTGTCTTTTCACCACATGAGAAAGAAATTGATGTTATCCAGCAAATACCACTCTTCGTAATAGATGTTCTACAGTTCTGACTATTACAGTACTTCACTTCAAAGCAGGCATTACTATTTCACTGCTCCCAGTAATGGTCACTATTACTGCATCCATATCAACCATATTAAACCTGCCATAACTGTGCAGTGCAAAATACATGTAGGCTGAAAGGACACCGGTTTTGCATTATCTTTCTGTATGCACAAAGCTTTTATTTCACTTCCCATGGATATGATTTAATTGTTGTAGCAGTATGCATTCTTCCTGGCATCAGTCCACTACTGGGGACTGTTATGTAGGTCAAAAGAAGTTTCAACTGCACCAGCTTGGCTGTATATGTTGTTATATTAGCAGATGGGGAACCTCCCAATTCTCTTTGTGGGTCATGTCAGCTACTTCAGATATCTTCACATGCTGGGACATGTTTGTTGGGAAGGGGAGAAATTAAGCTCTCACCACCACATCACACCAGACTAGGAGGTTTGCATCTTTCCTGTAACTTCAGTTTAAGATTGCTTGGAAACATAAACAGGAAAAAACATACCCATAGCCATAGAATCTCTCCCCTGTGTCCTGTTACTGTTGGTGTAATAAGATAGGAAGGGGAAGAGAGACTGGTTACAAGGTGCCCTCGAACACTAACCAGCAAATGCAAGTCTAACTGACCTTCTAATGATACAAACATTGATTCTCAGGTGTCCTGAGACACTCCTGCTCTACTGAGAAACAGTGGAATTTAATTGGAATAAATTAGTACCAGTAAATATACACAAAATAGATGCTCGGAAAATAAAGAATGTGGCTTGAACGGTGCTAATCACTGTTAATGGGTTTGTGCACCTATGTGCATTTCTCAAAATAACAATCGGAAACCATACTCGGCATACTGAATCTTCCAAGTAAGAATTGTCATTTTTACAAGAAATATACTGTCTTCCTGAGGTCATGGTGATGGATTGCATGTGCTGGGGCATGAACATTAGCATCACTGAAGTATTCCAGACCCCATATTAACTTGTGGTGCTTTCTGACAGCTCCAGGCTGAGGATATCAGGCTAAGCAAAGGCATGTGACATTTCTGGTCTTTTCAACTATTCACTCTACTGCAAAATAAATAGTAGGAACAAATCAACTTTCCTTGAGATACCAGTAGCATATACTTCTACTGATATTATTTTGCATGCTCTTGTTTTAAAATGAGATCATCAAAATAAGCTGTATGTACAAGTACGATGTGCAAGATAAATCATGCCAGCAAGCTTTGTACCAAAGTACAAATATAAGAATTTGGCAAAGGCAGAGTTTAGAAGTAACTCATTTCAAAACATTTTTAAAAACCTGAGATGCATTACTACTTGTTGTATTAAAGGCATAATTACAGTCCTCACCTTTCTATTTTAATGTTACCAAATTATAGTTTGGTATTATTATTAAAAAAAACATTTAGGCTCAGTTGGGACCCTTTTAGCTATTTCTCTATTTGACCATGTGTTTAAAAATGTATCGAGAACACAATATTAAGGTACCATCCCTAAAGGCTAACATGCTATAATTTTTTACAGCAATGGCAGACACTACAGGGATTTTCATTAAAGTTTGTAAACTCTGAGGCAAAATGGCTTTAGAAAGTGCCTACGTCAGAGCTCTTTTTCTTTGGCATTAGTACCTACTAACCTAGCAAAACATTGGAATGCACAGAGTTCAACTAAATCTCCCTAGATTAACCAACAGTTGTTGGCATTAGATGCTATTGGGAGAGGCTCAAAATCATGAACATGTTAGATCTGGAGAATATGCAGATTGGCAAGAACAAGGCTACATGATCAGACAGAAATATTTTCAACAATTCAAAGATGCTTGAGAAAATGAAAGCCAAACAGGCAACTGTACCAGTCGTCTGTGGCACATTAATATAGTAAAAAGATGGCACAAAGCAGTTCATATTTCAGTGGTTTAAGAGGGTCAGTTCATTTATCTCCAAAGACAAAGCCACATACGAAAAATGTGATTAGGAGACCTACTCCCTTACCCCATGTTTTACAGTGGGCACCATCTCTCCTAACAGAAACCTAAGTTATATTTTTGAAGACATGTGACTTGAAAGAAAGCTAGTGCAAACATTTTCACCCAGTATGGTGTAATAGAAAAGGTGTGGAAAACTGCAGTGTTCCAGAAGAAGTTATTTGTTTGTTTGTTTGTGAACACATCTTCTATCAACCTTAATCAGCACAGCTTAAAAGTGTGGGGAAGGAAAGGCAAAATAAAAATGTCAACTAATAAATAAAATACTAGCATAGACATTTACTTTGTGCTTTACAGTCAATATACAAAGCAAGAGAAAGATATTCAACTTGTAGTGTTCTTAAAATTGTTTGTATCACCATCTTCATCATTCCCACGACCAAAGGATACATTCTGCCATCACGTTAGCATCAAGTTTGTCAATTTCAGGTGAACCAGGACAACACTTCTTGAATTCTTTCCGCAGATCAAAAAATGAGTAGAAGCATTCAGGTAACAAGATATTCTGTAAAGTGAATTAATAATCAGATCTGGTAAACCAAGATAAGAGTTATCCCCATTTTGTAGTCAGGCTGAAAGTCTGGTCACTCAGCTTAGGTAAAAGCTACCTGTTAGTCATTCAACCATCTCAGTTTTGAAAATAAAAAGGACAAGGACAGACTATTGCATGTGTCGAAACCACAGTTAATAACTCCAATGCAAAAAAAAAAAAATCCATTACAATTCCACAGCCATGCACAAACAAAAGCTAAACATGTTTTAAAGAAGGGATTTTTAAGAAACAGAGGCCCAAGTCCAACAAGAGTAAGACTCACAGAAACGCTAATCGCAACTAAAGTTAGAATGTCAGCATCAATGGGAACAGGGTAACTCAAAAGTTAGGTATACTTGGGGTTCATTTACATTGTACAATTGTCAAGGATCAATGCTAAGAACATGAATATTGTGGTTTTACAAGGACTTCAGCCTTCTCTGCCTAATAATGCTGGAGCCTCACAAATACAAATCCCAGAATTCCATAGCATTGGGCAACAGCAGTGAAGTCAAACAGCATTACTTCTAGAGTGTAGATGCATGCTAAGGTAATCTAATGTCGCTACTCCTGCTAGTATTAACAGCTGAACAAAAAAGGCATGTTTACCTTTTCTGATGTGTACCATTGCTATGAAATGCCAAACATGAATACGTGGCTTGAAAGCAGTGCATATAAAAATATTTCTGTGTCTTTGTAGTCCACAAACCAAACATGAGTTATTGTGCAATGTGGCAGCCAAAAAAGTCAATTGAATTGTGAGTTGCCTCAATAGGTGGATGACAGGTATAGTATAGGCAAACTTCGGCCCTCCAGGTGTTTTGGACTTCAACTCCCACAATTCCTAACAGTAAGTAGTCTGTTAGGAATTGTGGGAGTTGAAATCCAAAACACCTGGAGGGCCAAAGTTTGCCCATGCCTGGTGTATAATAACCAGACTGATGGAAGAAATGGTACCACTACCACTCATATCTGTTTTGCTGAAAGCACACCTGGAATACTATGTCCAGAAGAATATTTTTAAGCTGGAAAGTATCTAAAGGTGACCAAGGTGATCAAAGAGCTGGAAACCAAGTCATATAAGGAAGTTGGGTACATTTGGCTTGGGAAAGAGAAGACAGATAATTGGATGGCATGTATAAGACAACAAGCTTGTTTCTGCTGCTCCTGAAATTACAACAACCAATGAATTCAAATTCCAAAAAGAGGAGATTCCTAAATATTGTGAAGCCCCCCCCCCCTTTTTTTTTTACTGTAAAAGCTGTTCAGATGTGGAATAATATCTTGGGGGGGGGGGGGATGGTAGACTCTTTGTCTTTGAAAATGATATAACATCAAAACAACCTGGGTTACTCACAAAAAAATGATGAACAAATTAAATGGTGCTCATTTTAAATTAATGTCATTAATGTCTTGCTCTGTCATTTTAAATAGGTTTAAACCCTAGATAGCCTTAGGGCTTAATTTGTTATGTTTTACTAAGAAATGCCATTCTGTCAGCTAAATAGGCTTTTAGAAAAACAAAAACCACAGCACTATTGTATAGCTTGGAACTTAAGGTCCCTTCTGTTTCTTTCATTTGTGAAATGTTTGTGGTCGAAAAGAATACTGAGTACATTCCAGGTGAATTTCACCCAACCTGGTCCCCCAGATCTGTAATATGTTAGATGACAATGATGCTGGCCAAAGGGTTTGTAGTTCGATTTGACAAGGAGAGCTACACAGCTGGGGGAAAGTGGATCATAAATGTTTTCCCTTCTAGCTGGAAGGAGGATGTCTGTAGCACGTCACCAGCATTATATCATATGCCTCAGGCAAGTGCTATCTATCTATTTGCATAGCTGAGGGTGGGGAGAAGTGAAAAATAAATGAGAGGCATACTTTGGTGGCAGATTGATTTCTGTTTTGCTATACTTTGACAGGCATTTGCTTCAAGCCCTCTTACAGCCCTGGCATGTCTGCTATAAGCAGAATACAGCTGGGATTGACATGATAGATGGAATGAGATTGAGATGTGTGACTATATTATGTATCTAAATCTTGCTCAGAGAATGAAGAGCTATACTAAAAAGATAAGTGTCTTTATCTGGTGGAAGGTTAGTCCCAAGTGCAACTGAATTTAGAACATGACTTTTAAGTCTTTGGAAGGTGGGTTCAATTTATTTATAATCTGTTTGTTTCAAATATTAAACCACCAATAATGATTCTCAGTAAATAGAAGATAATTTAATATCTGTGATCACAATCAACACAATTTGGGAATGTATAGCTAGGCTGGGCTTCTCCAGTTGTTGAAGGATCACACTCCCTATTCAATATAATTGGTTGGATTGCCGAAGACTGATTAGATTTGGATGCATCTACCAGTGGTTCTCAACCTGTGGGTCCCCAGGTGTTTTGGCCTTCAACTCCCAGAAATCCTAACAGCTGGTAAACTGGCTGGGATTTCTGGGAGTTGTAGGCCAAAACACCTGGAGACCCACAGGTTGAGAACCACTGGATGCATTTTGGCCCCATTTGAACTGAGTCCCCTTCAGAGTGAAAAGGGCAGCATATAAATGCCATAAATAAATAAATAAATAAATATGGTTCAATGTTATGGGATCCCGGAAGTTGTAGTTTAATGAGGCACCAGTGCTCTTTAGCAGAGAAAGCTAAAGACCTTGTAAAACCACAGCTTGATTTGATAGCACTCAACCATGACAATTAAAGTGGTGTCTAGCTGCATTCACTCCATAGTTAGATGCACCTTTTGAGTTCATAAATATCACAGGGCCGCATAGCACCCAGTTTCAAGGTACTGAACACAAAAAAGGGGAGGTACATGAAATATTGTCATTAGGCAAGAAGAAAGGAAAGACTGGAATGAAAAGTGATCCAAATTCATGAATTAAATGAACATAGAGCAAACTGAGGTTTGTTTTGACCAGACAGATATGGTCATGGATTCTAGTTCTTCAAAATATATATTCTCCGTTAAGTGACATACGTGAAAATAGTAAAAGGATTTAGACAACATAATTGCAGCACAACTGCTTTGTAAGAAAAGGCATGTGTGGAGTTGGTTTCCAAAAAAGTACCAAAACCAAAAAATTGAAACATGAGTTATAAGTAGCAGTACATTGGGAAAAGAATATTATGTCCAGATCAAAACGATAAAAATGCATCAAATCACTTTGGTACAGGACTTGGAAAATTTCATTTTATAGCAAAATGCAAATTCTCAGGACTTTTTTTCCGATTCCTATAGAGTTTGTTCAGATGGATATTGAAAATAACTTCCCTATATGGGGTCTTTTTAGAGAATAAATAGTGCCTTTGTAACATGCATAGGCAAACTTCAACTTCCAGAAATTCCAGCCAGCTTACTGGCTGTTAGGAATTGTGGGAGCTGAAGTCCAAAATACCTGGAGGGCTGAAGTTTGCCCTTACCTGCTTTAAAAAGAAATGGAAAAGATTGATCAAATTACACACATATGGGTGAGCTTGCTTCCTATTTTCACATTTTTTCTTAAACCACAAGTGCTCATATATTTAAAAAATGTAGTTATAGAGACATTTCTTACTAGTGTATTATTTATTTATTATTTATTTATTTACTGTATTTGTATACCGCCTTTTTCAGCCAATCGGCAACTCAAGGCGGTTTCCAACAAAACAGTATACATAGTATCAAATACAATATAAACATATAAGCATTAAGCATATTAGCTATAAGATTAGCGATTACAGCAAACACATACAACAAATACATTTGGAAAACAAGCACCGTTTGCTACCGGAATTTCAAGATAGACAACAACGTGATGTGAAAGGTGTGGAGTACAGATTTAATCTCATGTGACTATGTGGCATCTTCACGTGCGACTATGCAACACATATGCAACTGTCTAGATATTTCTTATACAGATATTGAATAATGCAAGCAAGACTCCATTGGAATAGCATTCTTTAAAAGTATTGACCACAGCATTTTTTTTCTTTATACCATTTATACACACACAACATAATTTACTGTAATATAGTTGTACAGATTCACCACATTTGATTGTAACAATTCCAGGGTAATTTATAAAAATCCAAGAATACATACAATGAAACACTCTCTCTATAAAACAAAAACTCAGTGTTCAATTCAAGATAACACAAAAATAAGGAAGTTGCTGAAAGCCTGTATTCTGCTCACCATTATATTACATTAGAAAACCTGACAACAGTTGTGCTTGAGGTCCAAACTCAGTACTCACTTCAACTACTAATACAAAATGCAAATATTTATTGAAGATCAAATCAATACTTTGCTTTGTAACTTCTTAAAGAAGTACCAAAATACTGTGCAAATAACTTAAAACACCAGTAATTTCACAGGTAACAGATAATTATAAAAACCAATGAGCACAGCTTGTGAAAGTTATTTTGAACTATAATTCCCACAACTCTCAGCAAACATGGCCAACATATTAGCAGGTTCAGTATGGCAGCTGTTGTCCAAAAATAGCTTTTTCACATTGAGTGTAGACAAGAACTGTCACCAAAAACACACAAGTTTTGAAAACGATTGAATTACACAACTAGGAGGACAGAACTGAATTATATGCCATTTTCTTACCTTTTTTGAGGCTTCAGGGTGGAGAACCTGCCTGATATGAAGTTGCCCATCAGTGCAGAGACAGAAGGAAGTACCTACACCGATATTTAGTTCATTGCTCACAGATTGATTAAACTAAAAAGAACAAGCAAAAAAAGATATATACATTTAGAAGGTGAACATATACTTTCAACACTTTCAGTGGGATACACCATCTTTTTAAGATGGAGTATTATTTGTGACTGGAAGGAAAGGAGACATTATCCCAAAGACCTCATAAAGTGGCTTTAAAAAAAGAAATCCTTAAAAATAAATAAGTAATCTCCACAAACACACAATAGGTAAAGATAAGGTAAAGGTTTTCCCCTGACATTAAGTCTAGTTACGTCCAACGCTGTGGGGTGGTGCTCATCTCCGTTTCTAAGCCGAAGAGCCGGCATTGTCCGTAGACACCTCCATGATCATGTGGCCAGCATGACTGCATGGAGCACTGTTACCTTCCTGCAGAAGCGGTACCTATTGATCTACTTACATTTGCATGTTTTCGAACTGCTAGGTTGACAGAAGCTGGGGCTGACAACAGGAGCTCACACCACTCCCTGGATTTGAACCTGTGACCTTTCGGTCAACAAGTTCAGCAGCTCAGTGCTTTAACCCACTGCACCACCAGGGCTCGTTATTATTATTACTATATAATTAGCAGTATTTTGTAGTTTATTTTCCTTAAATGTTATGTTTTGAAATGTAAGGGCTGTTCTAAAGCATTTTCTCAGAAAGTTTAATGTCTTTTCTTATCAGTCTGACATTTTATGAAAGGAAGCTAAAATAATGCAGTGAGTCACTTAAGAAAAACGAATGAATAAAGGAAACAAGCCAGATTTAAAAAGTAACTTTTAAAGGCTATTATATAAATCACGGGAGAACTAGCAGTCAAAATACAAAGTGTGAGTGCTTGATTAATTTGTCTAGAGGTAACCAGAAACTTTAAAGAGCTGGTTAGGGGCCAAATATATTACACTTGTTTTTTAAGATGGTTTTTTGGGGGAATGGTGGTGGTAAAATTAACATTGAAGAAACAGAAGAACTGGAGTAGCAAGGTAGAAAGGCAATGAGCTAGCTTTGAAAAAAGAAACCTAGACACCTGAAGAGGAAAATACAGTAAATAAACTGCACAATCCACCTTTCCATTAAGGGTGTCTTTCCCAGCAACAAGCAACTTGGGATTCCCCACTTTTAGTTCCAAAGGCAAATCACTATAATAAACTGTTCATTGGTTAACAGAGTCATATTGCAACACATATTAATGATTGTATTGCGTTTACTGCAATATCACCAACACAGTTTTATCAACACAACTGTCATACTCTATTCCTTCTACATCCAGTTTTAATCCAGCTCTACCTCTAGTTATGTTCATTGTGGACATAAACCTGAATGTCTAAGATTATGTCCCACATATCTGAAAAAGTAGACTACAACCTATGGAAGCGTTTTGCTGCAAAACAGATTAACATGGCTATTTCTCTTAATATACTTCCAAATGTTCTTTAATGACAATGTCTTAACCTCCAACCAGGGAGCCACGGTGGTGCAAATGGGTTAAACCCTTCTGCCAGATAAACTGCTGACCTGAAGGTCGGCGGTTCAAATCCACAAGATGGGGTGAGCTCCCATCTGTCAGCTCCAGCTTCCCATGTGGAGATATGAAAGAAGCCTTCCACAGGCATCCCCTGGGCAATGTCTCTGCAGACACCCAATTCTATCACATCAGAAGCGACTTGCAGTTTCTCAAGTCACATCTGACACAATAAAAAAAAAGCCCAACCCACAAGTCTAAGTAGCGGTGATGATGGGCACTGTAGTACAAAATACAAAGGACCACCAGCTGACCATTCCTGGGAGGGCAAGTGCTACCAATTTTGATAAGACTTCTAAACCATTAAAAGTAGATCAGTTGTACACCACATTAACTATTCATACTCCATTTTAAGAAATCCTGGGGTGCTGTAGTGTGATGGGACACACAAATGAAACCAAAGAACATTGAGAAAAGAGGTCATAATAATTAAATAAGATGAGATTGGATCTTGATTCTACTGATGAAACGCTAATGATTTGTTATATTGATGCTTAATTGTTTATTATGCTACTGTTTTAACCTTCCCTTAACTGTTTTTATGATTAGCATTGAATTTTCGCTGTTGTTAACAGCTTTGAGTCGCCTAGGGGCTGAGAAAAGCGGTATATAAATGAAGTAAATAAATAAATAAGATCAATTTGGTAAGTGTAGGCTGGGAACTCATGGTACCTTAAAAACTGTACTCCGGGAGAGTAGACTTCAATTCCCATGTATTTTGCATATATACTTTCATTATACACATTGAGTATCCCTTATACAAAATGATTGGGATCAGAAGCATTTCGGATGCTTTTGGATAGCTGTATTTGCATATATGAACATAATTAAATATCTTGGATATGAAACCCAAGTCTAAACATGAAATTCTCTGATGTTTCATTATGCAATGTTCTACAGTATAATAGTTTCAATAATTTTAGGCGTGGAACAAGGTTTGTTTTCACTGAACCATCAGAATGCAAAAGTGTCACTATCTCAGCCAACAAAGTGGATAATTTTGGAGTGTTTGAGATTTTGGAATTCTGGACAAGCAAAACTTTTTAGATTATTATTTGGAAGTTTTGTTTCTAGAACTAGCAAGTAAAAAAAAACCCCAAAACATTAAGGTGATTATTAGTAGAGGAACCAACCTGGGGTTTTGAACCAGCTCTATATCCTCATGATCAAAGGTATTTGGAAACAAATTGACCTTTCTCCTCCATAATCAGATGTGAGGGCTGCCATTGGAAGAAGCTTTCCCATGTACCCTTGGGACTGTTGTCTATAGGTGCATCTACACTGCAGTTTGACACCACTTTAACTGCCATGGTTCACTGCTATGGAATCATGGGAGCTGTTTTTGGTGAAGCACCAGCACTCTTTGGCATGGAAAGCTAAAGATGTTGTAAAATGACAACTCGCATGATTCTATAGTACCAAGACACGTCAATTAGAGTAGTGTCAAACGGCATTATTTCTACTGTGTATATGTACTCTGTATGTGACTCAGCATTTCCTGCTCATACACACCCAGCAATTTTGAGCATTTATTACATGCAGTGAAACCCAAACAAACGAAGAGGAATCCTAGGTAGATGCTGAGCATTGTAGTCCCAAAAGGTGCCATTTCTTTTCTATTTATTTACTAGCTGTACCCACCACGCGTTGCTGTGGCCATCCTTTCCTCTCACTTTCTCTCCTACTTTCTCTCTCCTTCCTTCCCTCCCTCTTTCCTTCCTTCCCTCCCTTTTTTCTTTCCTTCTCTTCCTCCCCCCCTTTTATTTCCCTTCCTCTTTCTCCCCTTTCTTCCTTCTCTACCTATTCTTGGACTGCAACTCCTAGAAGCCCTCCTTATCTATCTATCTATCTATCTATCTCCCTACCTATTTCTATCTAATATATCTTATCTGGAGGATTGCTGGGAGTTGCAGTCCAGGAACAGCAAATTGGAAATATGCAGGGATTGGGATGCTCTCAAAGAAATCCAAGGACAAGAAAGCTTGCAGCTTGGAAGCAGTGCATTTGGATCATCCTCCTCTCCTAAGGGCCTGGTCTAGGGGATGCTGGGAGCTGTAGTCCAGAAGAGAGTGTGGATATGCTATTGTGTGTTTTGTTTGCTGGGGGAGTCTGGGGGGGGGGGGGGGGTAAGGAGGACGAGTCCAGGACCCCTTTACCTGTCTCAATGCCTGCTCCAGCTGCACAGCCAGGGTCAAGCTGTCTTCGGCAATATTGGTGACTTCTTGGCACTCCTGGGTCAACTCCAACTGGTCAGGTCCAATCAGCACTTCGTGAAGATTTCCCACCTCCAGGGAATGAAAGATGGTAAGAATGAGTGTTGAGAAGCAGAAAGGTCAATTCTTCCTCAACTTGCTTTGTATCAATTTCCCCAATATAAGGTGGATGGCAAACACTCCTTTGTTTTTCACTCTTGCCCTAGAACAGCTTTTCTCAACCTGGGGGTCGGGACCCTGGTGACGGGCTTGTGCCCTGGTGAAGAGAGTTGGACTGGATGGCCTTAAGTATTTTCTGTTGGTCATGGGGATTCTGTGTGCGGAAGTTTGCCCCAATTCTATCATTGGTGGGGTTCAGAATGCTCTTTGATTGTAGGTGAACTATAAATCCCAGCAACTACAACTCCCAAATGTAAAGTCTATTTTCCCCAAACTCCATCAGTGTTCACATTTGGGCATATTGAGTATTTGTGCCAAGTTTGGTCCAGATCCATCATTGTTTGAGTCCACAGTGCTCTCTGGATGTAGGTGAACTACAACTCCAAAACTCAAGGTCAATGCCCACCAAACCCTTCCAGTATTTTCTGTTGGTCATGGAGTTCTGTGTGCCAAGTTTGGTTCAATTCCATGATTGGTGGAGTCCAAAATGCTCTTTGATTGTAGGTGAACTACAACTCCCAAATGATAAAATAATCCACCCCTCCCCCCCCCCACCCCAACCCCATCAGTATTCAAATTTTGGTGTATCGGGTAATTGTGCCAAATTAGGTCCAGTGAATGAAAATACGTCCTGCATATCTGATATTTCTATTACAATTCATAACAGTAGCAAAATTACAGTTATAAAGTAACAACAAAAATAATTTTCTGGTTAGGGGTCACCACAACATGTGGAACTGTATTAAGGGGTCATGGCATTAGGAAGGTTGAGAACTTCTGCTCGGGGAGACCCTGCTCTTGATCCCGCCTGCCTCGCAAGTGCGATTGGCAGAGATGAAGGAAAGGGCCTTCTCAGTGGTGGCCCCATGGCTATGGAACTCCCTCCCCAGGGATATTAGATCGGCCCCCTCCATCCTGACTTTCCGAAAATAAGTAAAGACCTGGCTCTTTGAGCAAGCTTTTGAGAATGGAGCAGAATAGATAACACAGAACTATGAATGATGAACATGGAATGGTCAGACAATGTTACTGGATAACGTTTTTAACAGGATGACACCGGTGATTATATATTTTAACGGGTTTTTATTTATGTTTTATATTGTAATGTTGATTGTATTTTATTGTATATGTCTTAGTGTGTTGTGTATATATATGGTTTTGCGTGTGTTGTAATGTATTTTTTGTTTTTTGGTTTTTAAGTCTCTTCCACTGTTTTTTTCAGTGTTTTTATGAGTGATGGTCACTTGTTGGCCTGAGAAGTGTATTGTGTCCAAATTTGGTGTCAATTCATCCAGTGGTTTTTGAGTTATGTTAATCCCACAAACTAACATTACATTTTATTTATATAGATGTTGATTGTTTTAATGTCACTTTTATGAATGCCTGACATCGAATTGTGCCAATCTGTAACCCGCCTTGAGTCGCAGTACGGTTGAGAAAGGTGGGCTATAAATATTGTAAATAAATAAATAAATCCAGGCCCATTCTGTCCTGCAGGATGACACAATCAAAGCACTCCTGACAGATGTTCATATAGCCTTTGATTAAAAACGAATCAAAGAGAGGGCAGCATATTCCACTGGCAGGAAATGTCTTTTTCCTGCAATTTGAATCCATTTATCCATGTCTTAAGGTGCATGTCTTAAGGTGCAACAGGCATGGGCCAACTTGGGTTCTCCAAGTGTTTTGGACTCCCACCATTCCTAACAGCCTCAGGCCCCTTCCTTTTCCCCCTCAGCTGCTTAAGGAAAGGGCCTGGGCTGCTAGGAATGGTGGGAGTTGGAGTCCAAAACACCTGGAGGGCCCAAGTTGGCCCCTGCCTGATGTTAGAGGCTTGCCCTCTCCTCAATGCGACATCCTTTGAAATATGTAAACAATAAACATGGCAGTTAGGTCCCCTCTCAGCCTTCTTCTCCCAAGCCAAAAAGACCCAACTCCCTCAGCCATTCCTCCTAGGGCTTGACTTCCAGCCCTGTCTCCATAACTTCTGATTCAAAGGGTCTCCTCCTCCTCAAGTTGCTTTCCTGTCTGCATTTTGTGTTCAAGGAGTAGCCAACGCCTTTGGTTACAGCTTACTCCGGAGTAGGCACGTCTAATTGAGTTTGTTCTGCCGGGGCCCCGCCCTAAGCAGCGAGGGAGAGTGGCGTAGAAGAAATGGGAGCCAATTCGGAGTCGCTTCCACGGCCAAACCAGAGTCCGAGTGGGGTTTATATATTAGCCCCAGACGCCTTGGCTGAGGGCTTTTTGCACAGCTCAGTTTCAGCCCAGATGGTTATCCCCAGTTTCGCCTTCTGCAAAGGGTGGTTTTGCAACTCCTTCTCTTATCTAGACGAATTAACTCAGTTTGAAACCGCTTTAACTGCAGTGGGTCAATGCTATGGAGTCCTGGGATTTATAGTTAAGTGAAGCACCCAATACTCCTTGGTAAATAATGCTCAAGACATTGCAAAAGTATATTTGTTTTCAAAGATTCCATAGAACTGAAACTAAAGTTTAAAGTGGCGTCAAACCGGAGTAATTCTCCAGTATAGATGCACCTGGCAAACAACCTCAAGGCTTTGTAAAAGTGTATTTTCCAAGATTCCATAGCACTGAAACTAAAGTTTAAAGTGGTGTCAAACTGGAGTAATTCCCCAGTATAGACACACCTAGGTCTTTTCCCCGCCTTCACACCCTTTTTATTCCGAAGTCAAACAGCCTCTGAAGTCAATCAAGCAGCTTAAAAATAATTGAACCCACTGGGAAAAACTCTGAAGGAATTGTTCTGGACTAGGACATCGTTCAAAACGTTTACATTTGGTATACACCAGGCATGGGCAAATTTGGGCCCTCCAGGTGCTTTGGACTCCAACTCCCACAATTCCCTGTTAGGAATTGTGGGAGTTGGAGTCCAAAACAGCTGGAGGGCCCAAGTTTGCCCATGCCTGGTATATACCCTTAGTAACTTACAATTGCTTACAACCCTAAGACTTTATATATCTATTTTACTATTATTAATATATGATTATTATTAAATAAAATAAAGTAGTACTAGCAGTTTATTGTCGAAGGCTTTCGTTGCCGGAATCACTGAGTTCTTGTGAGTTTTCCGGGATGTATGGCCATGTTCCAGAAGCATTCTCTCCCGACGTTTCGCCTGCATCTATGATCAGGAGAGAGTGCTTCTGAAATCCCACCCTGCACGTTCCACAGATATATAAACTCCATTTTCCTAATTTGGCTACCAGTATTTTAAAAACCCTCCAAAACTAGGATAGTAAATAAAGAACAACACTAAAACACGGGGAATTTCAGATAACAAGCAATCAGGGCCAGCTAACACCTCCCAACAAAGGAGGCCTCCAGGCAGGAAGCAGCCAGGCTTTGAAGCTGCAAGGCTAATCAAAATAGTCAATTGCGACGCTCACACCTGCCTCATAAGAGTTCTTTTTCCCACCCTGGACATTCCACAGATATATAAATCCAATTTTCCTAGTTTCCAACAGACCTCACAACCTCTGAGGATGCCTGCCACAGATGCAGGTGAAATGTCAGGAGAGAATGCTTCTGGAACATGACCATAAAACCCGGAAAACTCACAACCACCCAGGACTAGCAGGATTTGGCGTTTTCCCCTCAACTGTGTAGTCACACCCTTAACAGGCTCAAGCATTCCGATAGTAGAGAAGTGACGTCGAATTAATTCGAGAGAGACTTCTGAGATTGGCAATCATTCCAACCCCTGACTTAAAACTGACATCAAAAATCTAAACGATTAATTATAATTTAGTATAATTTAGTAATTATATTATAATTTATATTATTCGTGAATATAAATGGATATATATATACACAACCTTCAAATAATCAGTATAGTTATTAGAAGAAGGCATGGGCAAACTTCGGTCCTCCAGGTGTTTTGGACTCCAACTCCCACAATTCCTAACAGCCGGTAGGCTGTTAGGAGTTTTGGGAGTTAGAGTCCAAAACACCTGGAGGACCGAAGTTTGCCCATGCCCGTATTAGAGTATAAATATACTTTTTGGGGGGAACAATATCTGTATTTGAACGTGATTTCCTTCCACTATTATGAAACGCCTTGAATGCAAGACTGAGGGCAAGGCAGAACAACAACAATTCTTAGTCTATGTATATTGCAACTTCCAGCATCCCCAACCCAAGTGGCTGAGGAGGGATTGTGGGAGTTGAAGCCAAGGAACTTTTCCTAAACGTGGAGTCGGTCTTATGAATATAATGTGGGTTAAATCAAATACAGTAAAACAATAAACTAAAATTAGGAAGATAAAAGCCTAGAATAAGCTTTGGGAAGTACTGCAACTTCAAACATCCTCAACTCTGGGCGCTGCAATCCCCTCCAGGAACTTTCCCCAAACTTTTCCTATGAATATAATGTGGGCAAAAGCAAAGGTAGGAAGATAATGTCTTAGCCTAGAAAAGGCTTTTAGGAGTAGTGCAACGTCCAACCTCCACAACTCAAGAGGGATTCTGGGAGTTGCAATTCCCTCCAGGAACTTTCCCCAAACGTAAAATATAATGCGGGCTAAAGCAAAGATAGTAATAATAACGTCTTAGCCTAAGACTCGTCACATTAGAGAATGAATCCACTTCAAATTCGGTTGCTGCCTCCTGCAGAATGATGGGGTTTGTAGTTTAGGGAGGAGCCTTTAACAGCCTCACTAAACTACAAACCCAAGAATTCTGCAGGAGCCAGAAACCGGATTTAAAGTGGAATGCCTCTAGAACATGGCCATATAGCCCGAAAAAACCCACAAGAACTGACTTAAAGTGGATTCATTCTCTAGTGAGTGAAGTAGTAGGATAAGCTTTTAGAAGTAGTGCAACGTCCAACAACCACAACTCAAGCGGGATTTTGGGAGTTGCAATCCCCTCCAGGAGCTTTTCCCAAAGGTGGAGACAGTCCAGCCTATGAATATAATGTGGGCTAAAGCAAAGACAGTAAGATAATAACATCTTAGCCTAGGATAAACTTTTAGAAGTACTGCATCTTCCAACAACCACAACTCAAGCAGGGTTCTGGGAGTTGTAGTCCCCTCGAGGAACTTTTCCCAAACGCCTAGTCAGTGCCAAAAGTTACACCAACTATGTCTAGCAAAGGCATGGCCAAACTTGGGCTCTCCAGGTGTTTTGGACTCCAACTCCCACCATTCCTAACAGCCTCAGGCCCCTTCCTTTTCCCCCTCAGCCAGTAAAGGAAAAGGAAAGGGCCTGAGGCTGTTAGGAATGGTGGGAGTTGGAGTCCAAAACACCTGGAGAGCTCAAGTTTGCCTATGCCTGGTCTAGCTAAAGAAACAAGTCCTGCTCAAAACAAACTCCGGAGAGCCCTGCAACTTCAAGTGTCTGGGGGATTTGGGGCGCTGCAGTCCCCAAGCGCCCCCCGCAATCCACCCTGGCGGGGTTACCTTTTTGTTGGCCAGGTCCACCACTCTCCACAGGAGCTGGATGAGCTCCCTCTCGTCGGAGCCCAGCAGAGGGCCCTGAGCCCCGGCGGTGGCCCCGAAGAGGACGACCAGGTAGTCGGGAGACGTGGTCATGCTGGAGGAGGAGAGAAGGAGCCCCAAGCCCACGCGTGGAAGGGGAAGCGACCTTCACCCAGGAGTCGGGAAAGGAGAGAGAGAGAGACCCACCCGAGAGACCCCCCCGGAGCCACCCCTTCCAGCCACCCCAAGAAGCCCTCTCCGCCCTTGGAGGAAAGAGGCACATGCCCCGCGCGGCCCCTTTTGGGGTTTGGGGGCGAGGTCGAGCCTTAATTGCAGGGGAGCCAATTCCGAGGCAGGCAATGGCTGCTCGGGGCGGGAGGGCGGGGACCTGCCCCTCCCTCCCTCTCTCCCTCCCCCACGTGGTACAGGTGAGAGCAGGAGAGGCACACCTGAGTCCCACGCCCCATTGGCTCCTGGCTAGAGGGACGTGGCGGCGGGAGGGAGGAAGGAAGGAAGGAAGAAGCCAAGAGGAGACTTCTTTGGGCTTGCTGGAGAGGGTCCTTTCACACAGCCCTATATCCCAGAATATCAAGGCAGAAAAACCCACATTATCTGAGTGTGGACTCAGATAACCCAGTTCAAAGGGATATTCTGGGATATAGATTTTAAACTAAATGTTATTTGGGTTGTTGTAGTTTTTTTTCGGGCTATATGGCCATGTTCTAGAGGCATTCTCTTCTGACGTTTCGCCTGCATCTATGGCAAGCAACCTCTGAGGGAGGATGCTTGCCATAGATGCAGGCGAAACATCAGGAGAGAATGCTTCTAGAACATGGCCATATAGCCCAAAAAACCTACAACAACCCAGTGATTCCAGCCATGAAAGCCTTCGACAATACATAATTATTATGAGCTTGAGCAGGGGTCCTCAAACTTTTTAAACAGAGGGCCAGGTCACAGTCCCTCAAACTGTTGGAGGGCCGGATTATAATTTGAAAAAAAAAATGAATGAATTCCTATGCACACTGCACATATCTTATTTGTAGTGCAAAAAAGACATAAAAACAATACAATAATTAAAAAGAACAATTTTAACAAATATAAACTTATTCGTATTTCAATGGGAAGTGTGGACCAGCTTTTGGCTGATGAGATAGGGTTGTTGTTGTTGTTGTTGTTGTGTGCTTTCAAGACTTAGGTTGACCCTGAGCGAGGGCCAGGTAAATGACCTTGGAGGTCCATATCTAGCCCTTGGGTCTTAGTTTGAGGACCCCTGGTCTGAGGCATTGAATTTCGCCCCAGCTGTAAGCCGCCTTGAGTCCCCCTTGGGGTCGAGAAGGGCAGGATATAAATATAGTAAATAAATTAGCAGGGGTCCACAAACTTTTTAAACAGAGGGCCAGGTCCCAGTTCCTCTAAGTGTTGGAGGGCTGGATTATAATTTGAAAAAATGTGAATGAATGAGATAGGATTGTTGTTGTTTTTGTTGTTGTTGTGGTGGTGGTGGTGTGCTTTCAAGTTGTTTCAGACTTAGGTTGACCCTGAACGAGGGCTGGGTAAATGACCTTGGAGGGCATGATGCAGTTTGAGCCCACTTTAACTGCCATGGCTCAAGGTGATGGTCCTGCACATGGAAGGAAAAAGACATTATAAAACTACATCACTATCGGTTGATGGTATAAGCGCAGGATAGAAATTGTGATATATCAACCAAAGCTACATCTACATGGTAGAATGATTGCAGTTTGACCCCACTTTAACTGACATGTTGTTGTTTATTCATTCAGTCACTTCCAGCTCTTTGTGATCTCCTGGACCAGCCCCTGCCAGAGTTCCCTATCAGCCGTGGCCACCCCTAGCTCCTTAAAGGTCAAGGGTCTGGAGAACAAGCCCTATGAGGAATGGCTTAAAGAGCTGGGCATCTTTAGCCTGAAGAAGAGAAGGCTGAGAGGAGACATGATAGCCATGTGTAAGTATGTGAGAGGAAGTCATAGGGAGGAGGGAGCAAGCTTGTTTTCTGCTGCCCTGGAGACTAGGATGCGGAACAATGGCTTCAAACTACAAGAAAGGAGATTCCACCTGAACATGAGGAAGAACTTCCTGACAGTGAGAGCCGTTCAGCAGTGGAACTCTCTGCCCCGGAGTGTGGTGGAGGCTCCTTCTTTGAAAGCTTTTAAACAGAGGCTGGATGGCCATCTGTCAGGGGTGCTTTGAATGTGGTTTTCCTGCTTTTTGGCAGGGGGTTGGACTGGATGGCCCACGAGGTCTCTTCCTACTCTATGATTCTATAAGCCAGTCACTTTAAGGATACAATCCATCCATCTTGCCCTTGGTCGGCCCCTCTTCCTTTTTCCTTCCATTTTCCCAGCACCATTGTCTTCTCCAAGCTTTCCTGTCTTCTCATTATGTGGCCAAAGTACTTCATCTTTGCCTCTAATATCCTTCATTCCAGTGAGCAGTCGGGCTTTATTTCCTGGAGTATGGACTGGTTTGACCTTCTTGAGCTGCAAGGCATGGTTTCCTTCACGGTTTTGCTTATGGCATCAAACTCCAGCTCCACAACAAGGTAACAATCCTTTGCTGGAATTAACTGCCATAGCTCAAGGCTATGGAGTCCTGGGATTTGTATTTTGGTGAGGCCCTTATATTCTTTGGCAGGGAAGGTGAAAGACCTTCTAAAACTATACCAATACACGCTATGTAACAACATTTGAAAAATTCCTGGTTTGAGAATGTTATTTCCTGTTTAATTGTGTGGTACTTACTTTGAAAGTAATTGTTATACACTAGTAACTTTTTTTGGCTGCCACAAAGTATGTTGGGGCTCTACGAGATATTCTCTGAAAGCAAAGTGTGCTGCAGGATATTCCGCAAAAACAATGTTTCTGCAGTTTAACCTTTTCCATATTTTTATGATAGAATCTATTAGGAAATGACATTTATAACCCAGGGACAAAACTCGTTACATAGTGCAATTTATATCCCACTTGTATCAACAAAAGCCACATCTACACTGTGACATCCATGCAGTTTGAGCCCACTTTAACTGCCATGGTTCAAGGCTATGGAGTCCTGGGATTTGTAGTTTGGCAAGGTCTCTGCACTCTTTGGCAGGGAAAGTGAAAGACCTTATAAAACTACATCATCATCTATTGACGGTTTATATCCCACTTATACTATCAACCAAAACTTCATTTATGGGCCCTTCCACACAGCCCTATATCTCAGAATATCAAGGCAGAAAATCCCAAATCATTTGAATGTAGACTCAGATAACCCCAGTTCAAAGCAGATAATGTGGGATTTTCTGGCTTGATATTATGGGATATAGGGCTGTGTGGAAGGGCCCTATATCCCATAATATCCTGTGGAATTAATGCAGTTTGACCCCACTTTAACTGCCATGGTGCAAGGCTCAGAAGTCCTGGGATTTGTAGTTTGGTGAAATCCCGGCATTTATCAGCAAAGTGGGATCAAGACTTTGTACAACTCCAAGGATTCCAGAGCATGAGCCATGAGAGTTAAAATGGAGTCAAACTGCATCAATCCTATAGGGTAGATGCAGCCCTGGTTGATATAAATGGGGTATAAATAATCAACAGCTGATTTATACCCTGTGTTTGGGGCTCAAAGTGTCACATAATTTTTAAAGCAATACAATTAAAAACATACAAAAGGTAAATATTAAAATTAATTCAATTATTAAAACCATATTATTTATATTGATTTGACAGCAAGGCACCATCAACCAGGAGAGCTGAAATAATGTGCATCTCTGATCATTTATTTCACTACCACAAACACAATCTTGCTTTTCTCCATCCAGGTGTATAGGTTGAATACATCTTATTTGGAAATCCGAAATCCAAAATCATCTTCAGGGGTGGCTGAGATGGTGGTACTTTTGCTTTTTTATAGTTCAGTACAAACATACTTTGTTTCACGTGCAATATTATGAAGATATAGAAGGTGTATGTTGTGTGCTTTCACGTGTTTTTTGTATTGTGGCCATCCTGTCATGAGTTTTCTTGGCAAGATTTATGAGAGGATGCTTGCTTTTCTCTGAGTCTGAAAGAGTATGACTATTTAGAGAGTTTCTATGGCTGAGCAAGGATCTGAACCTATGCTCAAACCACTACACGGTGCTGTCTCTCCAAGGTGTATATGAAACATAAATATATTTCATGTTTAGACTTGGGTCCCATCTTCAAGATATTTCATTATGTAAATGCAAATATTCTGAAATTCAATACACTCCCGGCCCCAAGCATTTTGGATACGGAATACTTAACCTGTAATAAAAGCAATGATACTTCCAAGCCAGAATATGTTATTGGAGTAAGACTCTGGAAGACCACACACTCTGATCCTCAAAGGAAGGCAAGGGAACACCTTCCTGGAATAAAGCTTTCAAAGAAAACCCTAGAATAGGGTCAGAGTTGACCAGAAGGCACTTACTAACAAACTATTTTTACTAATATTAATTATAAAAATATTTACATGAAGTGATACTAATTACATCGTGCTGCATTATGACAGATTTGACTATTGTTGAATAGAGCCAGAATAATTGAAGGTTCAAAACTCTAGTCAGTTACACCTAGTAAACTGTCAAGCAGATATAATAGGAAAGCATGTCTAAGATAATTTAAGATTTAAGATAATAACAGCATTATTTAAGATTGTAGTGTGGATGCTTCCCCTTTTTATTCATCTATTATTACAGGCATGATCTTGTGAAATATTTATAACAACTTTTAAAAAATTATTGTCCACATTGTAATATTATTGTGAATATGTGGCTTCAAGTCACCTATGGACTTATAGTGATCCCCATAGGGCTTTTCTTAAGCTAGGAATAATTCAGAGGTGGTTTTATCAGTTTCTTCCACTGATATATAACTACAGCACCTGATAGTTATTTTCAGAATCCCATCCAAGTACTACTCGGAGCTGACTCAGATTAGCTTCCTAATTCAGATGGAATCTGGTGCCTTTAGGGTATTTTAGATGGGAGAACTGAGGTGTCTATGAAAATAAAAGTTTTGATGTTACAATGAGACAAGCTAAGGATTAGTTTTTGTGCAATGCAGCTCAGATACAGTGACACTGGAACCGTGAAGCTGTTGCTAAGTCAGGTTTGGAGCACACACCAGGCTTTTAGCACTGAATGTTAAGCCTACTGTATACCATGCAGCTGTGGACAAATCTATATAAGGACCACTGACCCTTGCACCCGAACATGAATCAAGGAACATGAAAGGCACTGCAGACTAATTCAACCAGAAAAGTCAGCCATTGCAGAGCATCTGATGAACCAATCTGGACATAGCATATTATTTAAGAACACAGACATGCTGAATCACTC